CTATAATCAGGCGGACACAAATCCAGAACAGCCTCGTTCCAAGGCGACACCTACAGGGACATAATTTCTTTTCGTCTCTTCTTCCATCTCTCCTAATCACCCTTTGTCCCAACCTGTACAGCATTATTTCAACGCCTACTTACACCTCGTCGTGTTTCTCAGATTTGTTAGTCTGCGTTTTCCCGCAATTTCATCTTTCATTCCGTCGTTACCCCCTAATCATCACCATCATCATTATTATTATTGCTTGTCGCTCATTATTTCCGTGCTAATACGACACGTACACATTTTTCACCGTCAAGTGGAGAATGGACGTTCGACTGTTTTATTCAACGTAGATTTACCCCATCACAACGTTACCAGAGCAAATGTTAATCTAAAGAAGCAATCTCCACTTGCGTCTTTTTTGCACCAAATCGTGTCCTAGTCTGCATCCAATTTGTGTCTTCATTAGTCGCTGTTTTCATGCAGCTCATTCAAACTGCGACGCGACTCATCAAACATGTGTACCACGACAGAAAAAATTAAGACGAGCGAAAGATCGGACCATCATGATTTTTTTATCGTTTTTTGTTGTTTATGAACGGCGTTGAAGAGAAAAATCGTTGCGTGAGGACATCCCGTCGTTTGACAGATTGTTGCGTCGAGATATCGAGAAAAATTTTGGCAAAATAAACACCTGGCGCAAGATTTAGCGGCCTCGTTTTATCGATGCTTTAGTGGAATCAAGGTTTGGAAATTTCGCAAATCGGTCAAATTTTTTTTTTTTTACATTGAATAATCTGCGATTTAATTGAAAGTGTGACTATTTAAAGACACAACAGGCATTTGCAAGGTTACATTTAATAACGTTTAAATATCCCGTATGGTGTAGTAAGTGTTTCGAGAGGAACGTGTGAGTTGTTTAGGTCGTGTCAAAAACAAACCAGCTGTAAAAGCGGTCTTATTTTCCGACATAACTAAGCGAAGCGAGACTTACGTGATAATTCATCTACGAGCGGCAATTTTAGCACCAAAGATTTAAAAAACTAGACGCGAATTCGTTCTTCGCGGATCCTTTCCGATGTTTTACGTTGTAGCGCTTGACAGTTTAAATTGTAGACGGTATGTAACTAGTAGGAGAATAAGAGCGTGGTAAAGAAACGATATATTGCGCAAAGGTCTTCATCTAACGCCGAAATGACGATAAACTGGCAACGCAAAGAGAAATTACCGCTGAAAACTTAATTCAGTCGTTCTAAACTGGTGTTTAACGGTGTGTGTTTTTGAGGTTGCTGTTTGTCGAAGCGAATTTCATCTACACGTATATGGCAATTTGAACGCTTAACGCAGACATGCATTCATTTGCGAGTTCTGCAATTAAAAAGGACTCGTTATTTCAGATGATTGCGTCCCTTCATCTCCAATTGCAATTCAGAAGGTTGTCTTCTTTTTAGCTAATTACTGGCATCATTAGAACGGGAGTAAAAATCCGTAATTGGCGCGGATGTATGTCTCCAAGGTTTATGGCGACGTTCTGCCGCTGCAGCAGAACGTGGATTTTGCACGCCCAAACGTATTTGAATGACGTTGCTCTGGGCGATTGATTTGTCTTCAACTGTGGATGGCCTAGTTCGTACTTCCTCCATTCATCATCCCTACTTGAATCCAGCTTTAGAGCCCGAGATGTGACCTTATAAATAATTGGAAATCTTCTTTCGTTTCCGCGTCGCAAATGTGTATTAAGGATCCATTAAAGTGCGAGGGACGTGGACATCTGAGATTTTAAATGATCTATGAGGGAAGGGCAAGCCCGTGCCCTCCTGGACGCACATTTATTTCTGCCTGAATGCAGAGTCAACACTACAAAACACGGCGCGGTTCCATTACAGATTGTGCGTGGCTGTTGAGATTTTTCCTGACCCTTCTTATCACATCTCTTGACGATACGGGCAGATTCAAGCAACCGTCCCTTTTAACCGTGCCAAAGTTCACGAAACTCACTTCGGCGAGGTTCTGCTAGGGCCCCTCTTGACCTGTTCGATAATTCCGGTATTATCTGCAAAAACCGTGGCGACTCGGGAGGAGGGGGGCGCGACCGTCGTGTTTTTGCACGGAAGAAATATATAGTTCAATGAATAATAATGAATAAAAGGAAGCACGCCACCGTCGTAATAAATATGTATGTGATATTTCTTTCATGAAAATGATAATAAGAGAGTATTTTAGACCAATTTACAGGCAAGAGGTAGATAATGAAAGTAATTTAATAAATTCCGAAATTAATTGATGTTGGAAATATTTAAAATTTAATGCAAATTTACAAAGACGACTAAGATATTTAAATTGGTTTCTTGCTACCCAGCCTTTGAAATTTCCTTTATCTTACCATTAAAGTAACAAAGGGTTCCCTTGAAATACCAAACAACACAAATGAATTAAATTCCAGAAAACTCTTTTATTCCAGTATCCCTATATTTGTTTCCAATGGCAACTCTTCGCTACCTTTTCCATCCTTCATGTAACGCGGATAAGATTAACTTCAAAATTTCACGATTTTCATTTATCATGCGCTACCCTTCCTACTTTCCACAAAACTCAGTCTCTGTTGTCTGAATCTTTCATTTCCACTACCTGACGACTCGATTCATTTTTCACTTAAATATTCTGTTTCAACTCTCTTTCACCTTCCCGTTACTTAATCCGTGTTATCTGATGAATATTTCCATTCTTTTTATTTTTGTTCTTTCATAATCAACTTCCATTATTCCGCTTTAAACCTCTAAATAGTTCACCTCATTCACCTGCAATATAACTTACACCAACAAAGCGTGTTATTTAAATTGAAGATTAAATATTCATGTCTCAAAAGAAGTTCAAACGTATTGTAAGCCTCTCGAGGCTTTACAGACGAGTTCCAGGTTGTACTTTCATCCCCTTTATTGTTGCTCGCTTGCGATCCATTTAATATGACTTAATTTACCATAATCACCGTCAGGAATTCATCTTACAAAAGCAAACTTGTACCATTGTGGGTTGCAGTTTTATTTGCCAAACTCCAATCAACTTCGTTACTGAGAAAATTGTACACTAGCAAGAATACTTGAGACTTCAATCAATTATTGAAACGAAACTACAAGACTGATTCGTTCAGTTATTGTATGACTTTTCCATTACCGGGCGCTAGACGAATTCCCCCATTCAGAAGGATCGTTCTAATTTTATGTATTCCACCCTTAAATTGACGCCTCATTCATGCTGATTCGAATCACCACTTTTGTAACTAATTCACTACATTATTCAGCGCGATAGGCGGAAATGTAATGAATTGCTTGTAACATTACAGCTGCGGATAATTTCCCCAGATTCAAGAATAAAACAGGTATTTTTCTTCACCCGAGTTCGGTTTCAACGCGCTGGGTTACGCAAAAGTTTCCCATTAATGTATTACGTAAAGGGATCATTATAGGAATCAAAGTTTGAAACTGAAATCCTTATGGCTCGTGTTCTCGTGCAACAACACAAAATAGAAAGTTCTGACTTTTATAAAGATTGTTAAGGGCTCCCAAATATTTCTGCTCCGGTTCGAACTCCACTCGAGTGCTGACCGTATTGTACTCGTACTTGTGCTCTTACTTAAATTCCTGAACCAATCTTCGAGCTGTAATCAAGCGCAAATTTGTTAGAACTTGATCGCATGTTATGTCACACTCGACGAGCAGAAAGGTAGGAACGCCAAAGGCCAATTTTACAACACACCCTTCCTCTCCCAGGTAAAACGTGGATTAGAAAACCTTCTTTACCCTCTTGGTTCGACAGCAATCGAACGTTACATAAAGCTGCTCGAACGAACTGGGATGCCAAATTTAACCTTCAAAAGGTAACAGTCACTAACCATGCGCCAACACTTTAATAAAAGGGGACTGACGTATACTGCAACACCTTGAAACCTTTTTCGGTCGGTCCAATAACCTCCGTCTTGTTATGCTTGGGGACCAGCAGGGTCTGTAAAAATCGCGGTACGCGTAAATGGCGCAGTCGCTTGTTCCCGAATACCGATGCCCCTTGATTTCAATTCAGAATGTCTAAAAAACTTGAGACCCTGATAGAAGCAACTGCATGTTATACGTTTGCTATTGACTCATTCTATTCGAGTCCACGCGAAATGATTCATGCCACGTGGGCGTCCCATGGTATTCGTTAAGTATATGGTCTCTCCAGTTTTGTACTTGGTTTTAGAGCTTTTTATTCTGGCACTGGTGAAACTCGACACGGATGCCTCTGAATTGATTTAGCGATCTGTGTACATAACATTCTAGTAATAATAATTCAATAAATTGTGGAGCGGGTGTGGCTTGCGTTGTGTGCGTTAAAAATGCTGTCGGTGGAAAAAAAGGTCTGCTGGTTATGGTAATGATTTACGTGTTTTTAACAAGCAGGGTTTGCATTTCTGGAGTAGGATTGCATGTTGGGGGGTAATTGTTGTTACCGGCAAGAGCATTTTAGTGTTAGTTGTGAAATGTTGTCCGAGGGTTGCAAATAATTTCGTGGTGTTAAATTGGCTGTGACAGTGACGAGTGGTTGGTCTGTAATTCGACGCGCCCCAGAAACTCTAAAAAAGGAGGAAAAAATTCAAGTAACTACCAACGAAACAAAAACGCGACATTGCTCTCGTACCTCTATTGATTTTAAAATAACACGAACAAGCAAACACGTCTAAAACGGCGTGCAGTTAAAATGATGGATTTGTTTGAGGCATCGAAGCAATTCCATAAAGTACTTGAGACGTTGGCTGACTCGTAAAAAAATTTATCCGTCGCAAGATGGGAATTTCGAAATATAATGAAATTCGTTGTGAAGTTTCATTCGGAGATCGGCGAGTTATTTTGTCGGTGTTGGGATTACCATATGGATATTTTGTGTATGCAGCCCTAAAACGCGCGCAAATGTATGTAAATTTTCTTTGAAACTTCCACACAAGCAAAAATGACACTGAAGGTCGACTTTTTTCCATATTTCAGTTACTGCGTTTTAATGATTTTTACCACATGACGAGCGGAGGTAAAAACACTGACACACTGACAAAAAACTTAATTTGATGGTTTGTGTCACGAAAAGCAAGAAACTCCAGTAGGTTACCAATCCGAGTTCTCGTTTATCGGCTGCAAGTACGATCATCACTACGCAATCATCAGAACAGACAAAAACGAGCTCGCTTCTGACAGGGGTAAGTAAAATAGGAACATTGATGTAGTTGAATTTAGGACACGAAATTTAAAAAAGGGATAATAAACTTCAACAAAACAAACTCGCGTGATATTTTCACGACATTTTTTCTTATTGTATGTTCAGACAGCACGCAATTTATCCACTTTGGGAAACCTTTTGTGGTATGTTCTCTTATCCATCTGCATTGCTTTCATCTACAAACTCGTAGCGACGCGGTTTTGTCCTATAATGATCCGTCGTTCAGCGCCCGGGTCTTCGAGGAACTTCTGGTGGACTAGCCACGAAAAATCTTCAACGACCTTGCTAACAATACTTATCGCGAGACCAAAACTCGAACGTTATTCGTGTGGAAATTGCAACGCTTATCTCACAAATTCGAGGAAACAACTTAATTAAACTTCACAGGATTTGTTTGACGCTTCAAAGCAAGTCTACATCGTATTGACACGTTGACTGACTACGAAATTTTCAAATATGAAATTCGCTGTGAAGTTTCATTCGGAGATCGTCGGGTTATTTTGCCGGTGTCTGGATTACCGTGTGATGTTTTGTGCATGCAGGCCTAAAACGCGCGAAAATATATGCAAATTTTGCTCGAAAACGTCCGCACAAGCAAAAATGGCACTAAAGGTCGCCGCTTTCTTCCATATTTCAATTACCACAAGCGAAGTTTAGCGAAAGTCGTTTTTTATGCAGTTTGTTTGCAGATTTTATGATAAACGTGCGCAAACTTTGCCACATTATCGCCGTGTCCCTAACCATCCCCGTGATGGACTGCGAAAGTTTCGCCCACTAGGAGACCTCACTTGTCCACCTACTTCGAGCTGAAATATGTCGCGAACCATAATTTGCCGCTAATTACAGGCCACGCCACTATTGATTTTGGGCTTTTTGCGACGCCATTTTTGCCAGTTAATTAGCTCACTTGGACAAATTAGTTCGCTCCTAAAACGAGCGGAAAGAAGTCCATTTTTATTTCATTATAACCGTGGGATTTTGATGAACGTAAATCCAATTTAAATCTATCAATATTTCTGACAGCTTTTGTTTTATGACTGATTGCGGAAGTTTCAAATCAAAACGAAACACCACGCTTTTTTAATATCAACCAAATTTAATGAATCCTTCGCTCACCCCCTAGTTTAAAAATTAAATTATAATCCATATAGTCCCATTTTGCCGAGGAAATTTAATCAAGAGAAAATTAAAACAAAAAACACTTTACTCACACTGCTTCCTCGTAACAAAATAAAAACATAAAAGCCATTAAATGACTTTGCAAAATATATTTTTCAACGCTCTCGTAAATAGTTTCCATGCTAATGCAACTACGACGCTTCTATGGCCTCCTTCTATTCGTCTCTCCACTATTCATAAGCAATAAAAACGAGACCATATTAATATCAAAGCGAAAATGGATGGCATCTAAAACGCTCGAACAATACTATTCTCATCTTAACTCACATATTTCATTTTAACCATTTGTCAAAAAACAGCCAAATAAATACTACAAATTTACGATAAAAGCCTCCGCTTACAGAGACGAAAGAACACTGCCACGCGTTTAAAATAAACCAACAAGAGCTTTGACGACTTGATTCCAATAAGCGCCACGAGCCGATTGCTACCAGCGAACGACTTCACTATGAAAGATAACTCCCAGCAAACAAAATTGTTTCCGTGCAATTACAGGAAACCAAACGACATTTCTAAAATAGTGACACTAATAACTGCGCCAATTTCGAACCACCCCGTCCAAAGAACTTTTTCCGTCGATTGGATAATTGATCGTCTTGTCCTTGAATGAGCCGCCTCTTTTTTCCTATTATGTTACAAATTAATTATAATTAATAGATTTCGTGTTACTCGGTAGCCAAAATCGATTTTTCTCGTTAAATATATTGCACTGACACATTTTTAGTTTGCCAACTGAAGCACAAATAATGATTTTTTAATTATAATTACTACCATTAACTACCAAAAAAACTCTTTTTTGATGCAAAATTTTTGATGGTAACTCGAATTTAACTCTAACTAAAACTTTAATCAGAGACATTTGTTTATCTGAGAAGCGTGTCTAAGTACTCCATAAAAGTTAAGAACATAATAGTAACGTATTTTTTCATTAATTACATCACCAGGGTCATTAACCTAGATAACGGTCTATTATTGTTGTTATCGTTATCCCATATCAACACTTACTGCAGCGTAAAAACCGTACGAATCGTCAAGAACTTTTTAATTTATAAAGCTTCAACAAAGCGTGAAGTTCCTAACGATAATTTAACGATTCACCGTTACCGCGAAGACACCATTATCGTTAACTAAAAATTCAATAAATATGCGATGCGGTTTTCAGTCTTTGGTGGATTTCAATTTTCATTAAACTTGTAATAAAAATTTGATATTTGGGTTGTTAATCTGTGTCGTTTAATTCTCGGTAATAAAAGATGATATCGATTGATTTCGGTCGCGTTCTTTGCGGTATTGCCTTTGTCTTGCTGTTAATTAAGTATTTAAGCCGTACAGTTTTGGTGCGTAAAGACGACTTTTCCCAACTTCGTTTATTATAGAGGACTTTGGCGTGTAGCAGGATTTTAAATGAAGTTTCTCCTATTTACCGATGCAAGCAAACCAGGGCTTATTACAAATTTGATTGTTTGCTCGGAAAGGTGAAAAACTTTTTGAATGTATAGTTTGGCAACTTAAACAGAGCATTTTAATAGCTTTCGCTTCGAGGGTTTAATTTAAAATGGGATAAGTTTGGAAATTCCGGGGTTTTGGACTCGAACAACTAAAGTTATGAAGCTCCATCCACACTTTCTTTGAAAAAAGTTATCAAGGTAATTAACAGATGAAGTGCCTTTCAAACAATTCGGGTAAGAACGGCGGCGATACTTTCGCGAAAATGGATTTTGTGACGTCACACCACAAAAAACGAGCTCGCTGTCGAGCCGCACTAACGAATTTATGGAAAGGACGCGACGATCTCTAATCGAGTTGAAATCGGGCAAAAAATTTAACAACGAATTAACAAACCTCATTTTGTCTTGTTTCTTGCTTGTCTCGGAATAGAACTGCTACTCACAACAAAATGCAAAACTTACCTCACAGTTTCAAAACACGTGGTGTTAATATGTCGTCGACCCACTTGTCGTAGCACTGAATTTGTCGTTAGAAAATCTCGACGTGCAAGTGACAATGACGAGCATGAAGGTTGTTTATTGGATGATTTCGTTCACATTTTGTGTTTCAATAAAGAGGAGTCGAGAATTTCTGGGTGTACGAGAAAGTGAATATTTTGACGGCTCGTATATTGTGTTTGTAAGCTAACGCTCGCTCAGTGAAGGAAATGACGTCACAACTTGTTAAACTGCAGACACCTAGTGTAAACTTTGTAACAAGTTTCTGTGATTCTTTTTATATTAGAAGTGTAGTTGCTCTAAATTCTAAATGAATGTTTATTAGGGAGTCTTTTAGGAACGGGAGGCTATCGGTGGATATTTTTGGTTCCGAGGGGTTCCTTTGACACGTTGTTTGTTTCAGATCGTGATGGCACAGGCGTAGAGAAGTCAGCGTGATTGAAAGATACAAAATTGTTGTATTTTATAAATGAAGTCATTTAGATAATAGGAATTTTACCACTGACAATCGATTTAATGTATCTCATAGTTTATTGTTAAATCCGTGTGCTTAGTTGTTAAAATCATGAAGAATAACGATGAGACAATTCTCGAAATTCTTCAAGGACACAAAACTTCAAAGTGGCCCGCTGCAAAACTCGTTAAAATTTTCATTGCCAGCACTAAAGCAGGTAAGTAAAAATAGTAGGGAAAAAGTGGGAACGAAATCAATCGCTCAAGCTGAGTTTGCAGGAGCGACATTCCAAACAAAAGCTCGAAATTAATCCATAATGTTAACAAACACACCTCTATACACATTACAATTTTGCAAATTATCTAGGCAACTACCGACTCCGCTAAAAGCCACATAATCGCTCCTTTGTTCCATTCTATTCTACGGTCGTGTTGACTACAGATGGTGATGTCACCCCTGGAAACTGAAATTGATAGATAATAATTGGCCATTGTGTGCTTCTACGGGGCATTTTTATATTAAGCTAAACTATTTCCAGATTTTGTCGAGGAGCGACGCCTTTTACTTGAATACGTTGGCCCAGAACTTCAAACGGTATTCGATGAACAAAAGATTGAGGTAACTGAGTAAAACATGCCAAACAATTAAATCACACAAGTTTGTTCACAAAGGTCGAGCTAGTCGATATGCACTTCGGCGCTTCCGAAAAGGACACGTTCGACGCAAAATTATTCGAGGATCATTTGCACGAAATAAGAATGTGCCATAAATTATCACGAGGATGTTTCTTTTTGGTATTGTGCTCTAATGGTTGAAGCGATTACGATAATTCCGCTTTTCAGAGTTTAGTTGGGAATAAATACGAACCTCTCATAGTTCCTCCTCGTTTAGAAGCCGAAATTTTCGAAGCCTTACTTGATAAAGTGGGAGAGTTGGGGCTCAATTGTGATATTTTAGAAAACTGGTACTTCAAGGAAGGAAACGAATACATTTTAAAAGACTGCAGGTTAATATCGATTCCATTCTTTAATGTTTCACGGGGCTTATCACCGAAGCAATTATTAAATCGCTTTACAAGCCTTTAAGAGTTCAAAGGTTAGGCTTAATGGTTTACCCTATTTCAAGTTTAATACACGTATATCGCTCTACTTTTTCCCTTGTCTTCCACCCTTAACGCGAAACCGTCATCACTTATTCAATCCATGAGCACGGTCTTAATGCGATGGCTAAAATTAATAAATGTTGCACAATTTTGTTCCGAACTCTTCTTAATAGTTTGCATCAACTTGACAGATAAACCAACTCTTGTGCAGGGTGAAATTAAATTAACTCCTTAACAACTTAAACCAATTATGTACTCTGTTAGCTGCACGATGTACACTTCTCTTTTTCGATAACTCGCCCGAATAAAAGCTCCTCGAGTTCATTACTACTTGATGATTCTTCAAATTTTCCACTTCGGTTATTCACAAATACAAACGTATTTTATACAGATTCTCGACGTTAGAAGAATGGAGAGCTATATCAGAAGAAATTATCACCATAGTACACGAATGTATGATAAATATGCCTGCACCAGCTAAGAAAGTACTTAATAACACCTTAAAATCAGTCGTCGAGCAACAATTTAATTTCGCTTTAGGTAATTCATCGTTCGTGTGATCAATTCCAGAATTTCAGTTTCACGTTTTAGGGTTGGCACCCGGCACTGCTCATCGCGTAATTAACATTTTTAGACATTGGGATGTACCTGAAGAGACTGACAAATTTCATCAGGTATATATATATCGTACTCTCGCAGAAATCAGACTTGGCCGATAAGCATTTCCATGTCTTCGTAATTTTATAAGCACACTATTCTTGTTTACTAATATATTGGTGAGGATCTCTATCAAGAGCTTGTTTGAGCATTATATTAATACAGTGGGTATTTTGGTGAAAGATTACTTCAAAGGCCAGTTCTGATTTTATCCACAGTACGCGTGACGTCATTTCTAATAGTTCTAAAATATAGCGTATAACCACTCAAGTGAAATATTTAGAAAAAAAGCAATAAAGTGAGCCGCGTGAGAAATGGCCCACTTGTCAAGAATGGGAGACTAATAACCGTAATTCTTCTTTCCAGGAAAATTCTAACCATGTTAATAAAACTATAGATAAATATTGCTCTGAACAAATAAAGTTATTTCATTCAAATGTAAAACTACTTATTCCAGAGGAAAATAATATTTATTTCAAGTAAGACAAACGTCTCCTGGTTGCCAAGTAATAACAAAATTCTTTTAGAGTGCCTTGGAAACCTGGGGGAATTAATTTGATACATGAAGAACACGAAGCATATCTAAACGAATTTAAAAATCGTGTTTTAAACAAATTAAAAGGTTTAATAAAAAAAAGTTTGGACGATGAACCGGAATTAAAATCTAAAAAGAAGATCGTCGAGGTACGTAATTTGTCACGGGTCAAGAGACTATTTGCGCCACTCTCACATTAGGGAATGAAAACGTTCATCAATCATCAAGATTTTCTTGACTACAGTTTTCTATATCTAGGAATGACATGAATTCAGCTTATTTTGAACGTGGGTAGTTTATTGCGGTTACTTTCAATATTTGACGCGGCGAGGGATCAATATGGACTACTACCTCATTATCGCTTTAATAACTTGATCCATTTAGTTCCTAGAAAATTGAGTTCGTACGAAACGGTCTATGACCGTGTTTAATATACGCTGCTTTTGTCGCGTAATAGTTCGCAGGAACGCAGCTGTTTTGTAAGCAAATTTAGAGAAGTTGGATGCAATAAGATTCCCGAGTTAAAGAAAACACTTTTGTCTTCTTTAATTTTATTTTCACTGCGTCGAACAAGATTTTCTAGATCTCCTTATGTTTGATCTTCAGTTTGTAACAACTTTGCTCTTTGTATGTATCTTTAATGTCTGACGCGCTTTGATTATCTCTTCATGTTCTTGATGTTCGTATTTGCTGATTTAACAACAATAAATCTCGATTTAAATAACTCGTCGTGACAATGTGTTTCGTAAATGTTCGTCATTGTTCTCGGTGTTTCAAAAAGTCTAATTTCGAAAAAAATTGGATTCTGGGTTAACAATACGGCAAAGGAATAATAAGGTGTGTCGTGGCGCTGTTGCTAGGGTAATGAACCTACACACCCTTTCTGTTTTTTTATTTCACATTTTCATGTATAATAACCTCAACCTTTATTATAATAATAGTCTGGTAGAGTTGCACCGACTGGAAGATTGCGCCTGTTTTATTTTGTAAACAAAGCTTGTTAGACTACACCGTGGAACGCGAAGCCGCAGAAAATCTAACTATATAAATAAATTTTCTTTTAGGAAAACTTTCAAGAAAATATAACACACTTGACGCTTTGTTATGAGGATATGAGAGCGGACTTTTCCAATTCAGAGATCCTGGAAAGGATTAAACAAATAGTACAAAACACAACAAACGTTCGACATAATCCGATTTTGATATACGGAAATCCCGGATCGGGAAAAACCTCGCTTATACAAACAATATACAGAAACTTCGAAAAGTGGTTTAGTTGCAGAACTCTTAGAATAATAAGGTTTACCTCAACCACCCCCCGGTCGTCGTATAATTTAGAACTGTTAAGAGTCATATGTCAACAAATTTGCATAGCTTTAAAGCTTCCTGAAGGTTTCTTGCCGAGAGACGCTTCCTTCGATCCCCTGTACATTAACAACTGGTTTCAAAGTTTACTCCGGAATTTCGAAGATATGAATCAAGTTCTAGTCATATTCATCGACGATTTACACTTGTTAAATCCCTTAGACGCCGACGCGATTAATGCGTTGAGCTGGCTTCCGATAACTTTGCCGAAAAAAGTTCACATGATCTGCACAACTTCGACGGAATTAGAGAAACTTCGTATGACTCCCGTGCAAAAAGAGCGCTTTAAAAATCCAGATTCGTATCTCGAAATTCCCACTCCAGATTCGCTCGAAGGTAAGATACGAAAATGTTTTTCGTCGATCTAATCCGCTGGCTTCAGATTTCGTTAATAAAAAATTCGACGCTTTGGAGGACTCTTTCACGAAGAACGCCGTCGCACGGTTGTCGTCGCTAATAACTTGCTCTGAATACGGGCTAACCGAGACGGAGCTCCTGGAGATTTTAATGCCCACGAGCAACAGCGAGGCCGTCATTCACGTCGAGGATGCCAATTTTAATTTTTCTTCCTTGTGCTCCATCCGGCGCAAATTCGGTAATTAAATCCTCAACCTGAAAACATTGTCAATTAACAAAACAATTCCAGAACCTCTCCTTAGGGAGAAAATAATGAGTGGAAAATTGCTGATAGAGTGGAGTCACGTGCTGATTAAAGACATCGTCCGCAGGCGATACCTCCACAATCAAGAGACTTTAAGAAACACACACACCGAACTCGCGAATTTATTTTTCTTTGAATTTTGTAGAGACGAGAGCTGTGAGGACGAAGAAGAGGAAGGGGAACCAGGTGAGAACCGGCAAACCGATTTGACGAAATCGGAATGATCGGTGAAAATCATTTTAGCGCCCCTTTTATCTGAAATTAGGGAAACTCCGTTCCAATCTACGGTGTATAAAGATGTCACTTACAGTCAAAGACATATCGAGGAAGCGTGGATACACCTTCTGCTCGCCGGAGATACAATTAAGTTGAAAAGCTTGTGTATGTGCAATTACGACTTCCTTCTTGCCGCGGTAAGTGCAACTTAAAGAACTTGAGCAGCCTTCCAATTGCTTTCGTTACAGTTACAAACGTTTTCGGTTAGCTATTTACGGTGTTTGTTGGAACATGTGCGCTGTTATCTTCTTGATAGGGAGATAGAGCTGGTGTACTACTCGATTCGGAAATCCACCGACGTATTAACGCGGGACACTTATCAATTAGGCACTCAGCTCATATCTTGGCTGAGGCCTGTTATAGAACGAGGCGGTGGTCTAATGAGTTCTTTGGTCACCTCTGCGATGGCCTGGTGTGATGGTTTCACTTTGCCCCTCGTGGTTCCTCTAACAGATTGGTTACAACCCCCTCTTCCGCAACAATCCAGAGTAATTAACACGCCAAACGTTAGACTCATTGAGTCTACCCCTTCCGGACAACACGTTATTTGTGTTGTTGATTCAGAGCCTCAGCTTTGGCACATAATGAGCAACCAGTTAGTCCACACTTTTAAAGGTAGCCGTCGTAACAAATACGATTACGCGCACCACCCAGAAAGAGCCACCAACTAATTACTCAATGATAACAAGCACACGACTAAAAAATCAGAACGAATCACATCGATATTCGGTTGAAATATGTCATCCTAATCTACTTCATGGAATCAACGTTAAGCCGATATAAGCTCTCATAGCCGCGTTTTGAATTTATCCCTTTCGAGGGTACCGAGTAACCTGCCGTCATTATTTCCCGTACTAAATTGTGAAATAAACAGACCTAACAACAATATTTTACTCCCCCCAGCATTCACCAACTTCAGTAAGGTGCCTATTCAGACACTAAACACATGTTAACTAGTAGCCTGAAACGCTAAAACCAGACCTGACTAGGATAACCCGGGTGATGAGAGACACCCCTGCTTCGAAAAATGAACATTTTTCTAGGGAAGTCACACCCCTACTGATGCTCGCCTTAAGTTATATCAGTCTTGACACATTTGGTTTCGGGTGACACAACATTGCATTGAAGCCCCCAAAAATATCGTTGTTCCGTGATAATTCGAAGCGACTTTTACCATCCCCGCGTTGACTACCTCTATTTCATGCTAGTGATACTAAATTTTTTTATGATTCTATCACACTTTTCTCTATGGCGTCTAAAACTTTTAAGAAAAATTCCCGGGTGTCCCCTCGGTTCAACCCGATACAGCAATGAACTTCTAATTTTCGAGGCATAATAGTCCAAAGTAACGGCCCTAATATTAAAGATACTTTTTTATTGTTTTATTGTTGGAATTGTAGTAATTTTCTGGGTGATGCGCGTTTTTGTAAAGGAGTGTGTTTTAAAAGTTTTCGTTGTAGGTCATACTGGTAAAATAATTTGCATGGCTGTGACAAAACATTCCCAGTACCTTTTTACCGGGTCCTACGATCTGAGCATAATTGTGTGGGATCTGAAATCATTTGCGGTTAAATTACGAATTCACGAGCACATTGCACCGGTATTATGTATTACCGGCGGGCTCAACAACTCTGTGATCATCAGTGGGGGAGAGGATAGCAGCATTATAATAACATCCCTTTCTGACGGGCACGTGGTCATGAAAATAGATCACCATCGGGGTCCCGTCACGTCGGTTAAAGTAACATCCACAGGTGATATTCTAGTGTCAGGGAGTCAAGATGGAAGGGTTTGTTTATGGTCTTTGGAAACTTTTACTTTGTTGAACACGATTACGCTGCAATCACCGATACAGATGATCGAAGTTTCTGCCGATTCCGTCTTTCTGCTGGCTTGCTGCAGAGACAACAACTTGTATTTACGCACTCTGGCAACAGGAACGGAACTCCACAGTCTGGTAGAACATAAAACAAAGGTTACATTTCGTAACTTTAAATTCAGAGTTAGCGCAACCGCTCCTTTCTAGGTCAGATCAATTTGTCTTACTCAGGACAGCTGTAGAGCTGTCATTGGGGGTGCAGACGGAAAAGTGTACATTTACGATATTCACAGTGCCAAATTAATTAAATGCTTAACAGGACAGAGCGGGGAAGTCACAGCAGTGCGCGTTACTGATAAAGATGATTTTCTTTTAACAGCGGGTTGGTTGTTTGTATATTCGGCGAGGCTTCCGAAAATAAATAACTTATTACAGGTGGAAATCGAGTTATGTTTTATCCATTCCGGAGTGACGATAATATAAAAAACTTCAACAAGATGAAGAAAAAGTCGCAGCATCATTTACAGCCCCACGGCGGTTTTTTAACTTGTCTGGATATATCGAGGGACGGTCAATTATCGGTGACAGGTGCATTGGACCATATAGTGAACGTGTGGCAGCTTAATAGTCAAGAGTTGGTATTGACTCTAAAGGGACACACCGGTCCCATTACTGCGGTTAGTTTTGCTGCAAATGGGTTATTTGTGGCGTCTGGTTCTGAAGATAAAACCGTCAAAGTTTGGGGGCTCACTCTTGGTACATTAGTCTCGACATTCACGGTGAGTCACTTAACATTCAGAAAAGGAACCTATAAAGCCATTTTTCATAAAGGGTCATCAAGCTGCCGTCTCCACGGTATTCGTTATGATGGATTCCAGCAGGGTAATTTCGTCCGACAGAAACGACACACTGTGTATCTGGCTCGCTGATAATGGGAATTTACTCCAAACATATCCCGGACCTAGTAAATGTGTTAGAGCTACGAATAACATGAAATACGCCGTAAGTTTAACGACACACGACACGACCTGCAACTAAATTCGGCTTCCAGATCGCCACGAACGGTGACGTCTCGTTAAAAATCTGGTCTTTGGTGAAAGACGACGAAAAGTATAACGTGAACCATTCCGAAGAGATAACTTGCTTTGTTCTTACGATAGACTCTCAGCACATTATTACGGGGTCGAGGGATATGTCATTGAAAGTTTGGCAAGTCGTCGGCGGGAAACTATCTCAAGTGAGGCATCAAATTTGATGGAATCCTTCGATATGTTCGGATTTTTTCGTAGGTTTTGATAGGACACACTGATGCGGTAACTTGCGTGGCAGTTTCGGTTTCCGATAAAAGTCAAGTAATATCTGGATCGTGCGATAATAACCTTATAGTGTGGGATATAAACACGGGGGCTGACTTATACACGTTATCGGCCCACTTGAGCTACGTTACTTGCGTTAAACTATCCGGCGACGGAACAACAGCGGTATCAGGTCAGATTGAAACAACCTTAAGACTTTTTGCTCAAACTATGCCGTTAAATTTTAGGATCCGACGACAAAAGCATCATAATTTGGGACACAAAGAGAGGGCTACAGCTAACTTCCTTACAATTGCATTATCCTATTATAAGCATAGAACCTACGTCGGACTTTTCAAGAATATCCGTTCTACTGAAAGACACTCACTTTATGCCAATTATTTGCTTGCATAACACTCCCGCTAAGTACGTCAAACTGCCGACTTACTGCGCCCCAGACAAGGACATAATAGAAAGTAAGCAGTCGAAGTTTGTAATAACAATAACAATAATAATCGTATATAATAGACCCGAAGCCGGCTCCGAAGCGACAAATGAAACGACTATTGAAGAAGGAAGTCTCTTTAGACACCTACACTTGGCAGAAGAAATACGCTCATCTCACGTCGAACTTGGTGATTCCCGCGGTCGACGAACGCTTCAAGCGCCGCTTCTCCGTTTCGGCGAGCATGGAAGAAATCTCGAAAATCCCCCAAATGAAAGATTCTCAGGTTGTAAATTTCCTCTTGGTTTTGTTAAAATCTGATTGAAATTGTGTTGAAGGGTGGCTTGGGAGCGAAACAAGCTTCTCTAGCGCAATCTCAGCATTTTGATCAATTGGAAGCTTTGTGGAATAAGCGTTCGCCACCAAGGCGTAGACTTCATCAGGTGATTATTCGGATTCGGTTATTTGAGACCGGGTAATATTTTTATTCGTTTTCAGTCGTTATCCAAACAATCATCTTTGGCGGAGTCCCATCTGGATTCGTCGGACGAAGACGGACATCTGGAGGACGGTAAATATGTGACGTAACTGTAAAAGTATTAAGTAAAACTGTCTTTATTAGACTAAGTCAGAGTAGTAAATGTCGTATTAGGTGAAACCTTCCCCCAATGGATGTTGTAAATGTAGTACTTCCACGAAATGTTATACTTATAGAATATAAAGTAAATGCAAATGATAATCTATGACATAAGTGCTTTCCTTATGACTGTTTCAAATTTTTAGACTTTCTAAAATATTATTTTGTATAATTGCTATTTACTCTAGAAATAAGGAGAACCGTTTCATATTACCAACTGTACTTTATTGTTTCTTGTTGAAAGCAATCATTCCACACATTGCAAACAGTGTTTGTTAAATGTTTATCTTGATGTTTGTTACATTATTTCCGATTTGAGAACTTTAACTACCGGACTTGGAGGGGAGGGAAAACAACGAAAACTAATCCGTGAATTGACAAAGTTTTGTGTAACGAAATAAAATACGATTCCATTCAAGTATACGAAACTCTGAAGAATGTCGAAACGTATGATTTATTTCTCAACGAACTTAATCGTAGCTAAATAAAGTTCTCAAATTAACTAATACTCACACCTCTATTACGATTCGCCAACTCCTTTTTGGGAATTGTTTAAATTACTAATTTTTTAAGTCGAAAATTCTCAGGACCAAATATTTTTTTTAACTAAGATAAAACAGTTTATATACATTTTTTATTATAAATTTGTATTTTTATAATATAACTAAGTTAACATCGCCCTGACTAAAAGACCTGGCTTAACTTTACAATTAAATAAAGCTCAAATAAATATTCGTACAATGTCCACAACTCTGCCTACCGCATCAACTTAGTTAGAACTCGCTTAATCTTCAGTGTTCATATTTTAATGTACCATCTTAAAATGTTTCTCTTGCTGTCTCTGCATTATGCGATTTACGTATAAAGGACCATTGTTACGTTCGTTTGTCGTACTTATTTCCGTGTTAGTCTTTGTTACCTAAAGCAATTCTAAATCTCGCTACCTAAGCAATAATGTAACTAACTAAACCATCGTTTAGATTACAAATCACAGTATATAAATGCTATGTTAATATGTGTAATGAATTAGAAAACTGAGTCGAAAATAAAATTCTGAGAAACGTTACAGCACCATCAATTTCGACCCACCCTCTATCCATCAATCCATACCCCGCCTCTTTGATTAACCCCAAACTTTTGTGACGTTTCGCCATAATCAAATGAACTACACGGCGAACTTGACGGTAAGTCAAAACAATTCCGAACACATCACGAACTAAGATACAAGTCAGCTTGCAAAAAATACCACCTGTTAGAAACACACATGTACAATTTCGCCGTTTGCTCCAGACATACTGCCACTTGGATCGAATTACAAACAACTGCTTCCTCTGAATAAAATTAGAATATTGTGCTCTCAGAGCGTGTTTTCACGTCGAAATTGGACTACCGCGCGACCTCGACGCCGTTAAGTAGGCTCAAAAATTCAAAAACGGGCTTACAAAACCGCCGCGTTCCTGCAAATAATTTAAGCGATTACGCGGAATAACATTAACGCCGCCGAATCAATTACCGCGCACAAGAAAACTCCTGTGTAAATATACAGCAAGATTTCACGCAAAAAGTGGAAGCGGGCACCCCGGAGGAGATGGATGATGCCATTAATCCATCTTGTCCTTAGCTAATTGTAGGTAAGTACCGAAAACTGCTCCCTCCGTTCGATGTTTCGATTCTTCACCAACTTAGACTTATCGGTTTTGTTCCCTAAATTGCCGCTCTTGTTTCGCGACTAACTAACGACTCCGTGCCAAAACCGAATCTAAACCCTTCAAAAACAGAATCCAACCTGCAATGCGACGAACCGTAAAAACAAACTCGTACGGAGACAAACCGTACAATTTGCGAACTAAATTGCTCGTTTTTAAACAAATGCGCCTAACAAAAAAGATTTGGTCAATTACTATTAGTTTATGCATAGAACACCGAGAACAGATTAATCTTAATCCGGAGTTGTAGTGAAACCACCTGTATATTGGAAATTTCCGTAAATTACGGCCGTAATTTATCACGCTCCATTACCTCAACAACTTCTTTCTTAACAGTTTTGTTGCAGAACAACTAAATAACAAAATCCGCTCGGTTTCACCTACATGATTTGGACTCAAAATTTATTCGCTACTTCACGTAACACACAACAACATACAACGAAAAGTTTTGCTTGAATTTGTTCAATCGAGAACAATGTCCATTTAACTAATTAATTCAGCGGCAAATATAAATTTTAATTCACTGATTTATAAAATGTAAATCACGACGAGACATGACAAATTACAAAGGGAAATTTTTTAATTAAATGCTAACAATATTACTTAGGTCGCACTTGCCGTATCTGCACTTCAACGACGAACATTTTGGAAGTTTGCATTTGAATAGTTTATCACACTACGCTGTGCTATACTATGTTTACCGAACAGATGGAGTAGTAAAAGTGCATAATCTTTTAAAAACCTGATACTGTTTTAGTGTGTTGTGGCTGTTTTGGCACAGTTAAGCAAGAAAACGGTTTGTCAAAAATGTCACGCCGATATTTTGAAAATGTAGCTGTTTAAACCAGAAAAGTCTTTCGATTCGCGTGTTTGAAACTGAAAATCCGGCAGTGATAAACGCCGTCGTAAAAGAACACGAAGTGGTCGAATGCACGTTCTGATGAGCGATAGCAACAGGTATTTCTTCAATTACTTAAATAATTCCCTTTTAATTATTTGATTTATGTCGATTTCTATCAATCCCAGAAAGCCGAGCTTCCTTTTTTGCGTTCTCTTTGATATAGGAGCTAAGAGCGCTTTCTTTGATTAACTAAATTAAGTTGTTTCAATTCGTAAACAAGAGTCTTTCATAAAAAATTCAAGTGAGTTTGGGGAGTCGATATTGATATAATGGATCTCCATGCTGTCGTCATTTAACGAGTAATTTTAGTACTTCTAAAAATAAAAAATGACGAACAAGCTGCTTTGAACGTGCCACTACAAACCGGTTTAGAACGTAACCGCAAACCGGTTTCACGTTTTGGAGTCTTTCCCCGCTTTAATTGCGCCATGTTTCGTCTGAGTAATGCTAAAGTGGAGTGCTGAAAAAAGCAAATCTGGAGAACATAAAGATGAATAAATAATTGCACTCGAGTTTGAAACGAGCCGTTTGTGTGGAGCTTCCCCGAATGCTGAGAAACTTCTTCCAGGTTCGTATCTGCTGACGACGACAAAATAGTAATAAATCACAAGTTACATTCTGTCTTCAAACTTTAGATTTTCATTTTTTCCTCCGTCCGTTGACAAATAACGATTCGATTTGTTCGTCTTTCATCTTTGATGATCCAGTTTAGTCTACGACTGCACGAACGGTTTATCTAATATTAATCAAGGTGTTCACAAGCCGATACGTCGGTCACTTTTTCAATCCATCAATTTTTTATTTGGAAATTGAATAGTCGCACATCTTAGAAACTTTGTGGCAAGAACAAATACCTTTGATCTGGGCAGCGATCTCGTAACCGTTTCAAAGCCACACTGCAGACGCAACAATATCAAATTTCCTGCAGGCTTTACTATATGCCTTCAATGTGCAACAACGTACTCATCACACTTGCCCTAATAAGATCAGAAGAAAATAGAATTACCATTAGTGGAGTAATGAGGATAACACGCGGTTAAAATCTAGGAGGATGGATCGATACCAAATTATCCCGGCAGGATTTTAACCACTGCATTCAAACCCCCTGATTAAATCATTAAAATAACGAAGGTGTTGCTTTTCCATCACCGCACGATCACACAAAAAAATGGCCACCGGCGATATCAACCAACTAAAATATTTAAGACAACAAATATAAAATCGATCGTCAAACTTTTTCATTTAGTGAGTTAGAACACAGGTAAATGATTTATGACAAAATGGAAGCTCAAAGTTGTACTCCAAGTTGAATAATCAAAATAATTATATATATGTCTCCTTATCGTTGCATCCTTCCACCATGTCAAGATTCCGCCATCTCCGCACAACATACGGCGTATATCGATATTTGAGCGTACAGATAGTCTGCTTGAAAGGCACAACATAAATCTGACAACGATTTTAATATCCTTTACGATAAGCGAGAAAATTTGCTTTCGTCGTTCCAGCATTACCCAACAAACCCTTTATCTAGTGAATCTTGGCTTCACCGTAACTCCAAATCATTTTTTTTTACTTGTTGTATCGTTACGCCCGTGAAAGACGAGTGAAATGCGCGAAAAACAAAAGCTGTAGCAGAATTTCCGACTGCAGCTCTAGCAGCGGCGGCAAGGAAATCCGCAGTTAAAGTGCTGATCGATTGCAGAAAACGTAATAAAAAGGAGTATGAAATTAATATGGAGCGCAATTAAGGTCAGAATGCTGCGAACCTGTGGTTTAAAAGTGGGCGTAACCGGTTTAAAAGTGGTGAAACCGGTTTAAGACCGGTTTACGCTTACGAGTGGAAGGGGAAACGTGGAGCGTATGTAGAATGTCACCTTTGATGTAGGCGCTGTGTTTCTCGGCACCGCATTGTGCGAATTTCCATCGTCCTATTTTTAAAATATCATTGAAATTAATGGGTTTGAAACAGAGAAGGCGTTAACAACATTATTATCATTATGCTGCCAGAGGTTTAAAGTTAACAACTGTTAAAATAAACCGAAATGAGCAGCGTCGTGCTAATTGCTCTCACTTCTTGTTACGATCGAGTTTTGCTGAAATGAATCCACGCACTTTCCATTAATTAATTACATACAAAACGTAATAAAGTTATTTGCCTTTTGTTACCTCGCAGTTTGTTATCGCTAGTTATGAATTAAAAATATCCTTTGTGGTGAATAAATGGGAACATCCCCTCGCAAACGAAAACGAGGTTGTGCTAATGGCGACGACCAGAATTCCACCTTCTATTTACGGTACACCCCTTAATGGAATCCGCTTATGCAGTTAACGAAATTATCTCAATGTAATTTATTATTGTATCATTTTAAGGGCTTTCAAGCTGAAATCCGTTGCAAACGCAATAATCTATCAACTGTCGGATGATTCGAAATGTATGCAAATCCTCACATTATCTCTAATTCTGTTTGTACAATATAAATTCATTTTAGAAAAAATCCTTTTTATCGTAAATCAAACAGAACGATGACGCTTTTTATGCTTTCATTTCATTACGATTGCAACGATTTGGCAAATCACTTGATCAAATTCCAAACACCGATCACATCTCTTCGGGCAAAAAAGAATCGACGAAAGTGTATAATTTTCTCATATATTTATCGCATTTTCGTCAATTCACTATAAATCCTATTGGCATCCTATCAAATAGAATTTATCAAGGTGAGTTCACAATTTATTTTTTATGTACCCTCCACGCTACACCACCTTATACATAAATAACACGGTCCGGGAAAACTCCTCTCTCGGATCTACGCCCTTAAATTTTGACACCTGCTCGGACGACAATCCAATTACTTCAAACATTCAAAAGTCTCAGTTGATTATAGCATGATGACATCTCGCCTCTTCTACCTAAGGTAATAACATAATAACGAACACCTGACACGATCTTGTTTAAATTTAAATAACCATTTTTGACGTAATCGTTTCACATTTACACGAAAGAAAAATCGTGGAATAACGGTATTCGTCAGAAATTTTTGGTGTATTCTCGTTCGGTATAAGGATTCATATTAAGGCTCTTGTTCTTGTTGAACATCGTAAAATATATAGAGTATAAAAAGTATTAAGGGAGGGTTACCAAAGTTTAATCCAAACAAAGTGCAGCGTGCATTCTGTGTACACATGTAGTCATCCACGATATTAACTGTAGCAACTACAACAAATTATTAAAGTGGCTGAGGTATCGGGTTTCTGACATGAAGCAACATAATTTCGTATAATTAATTACAAGATAAAGATCAATAATTAATCCCCTTCTTTGTTGGAGTTCGTTTTTTAAATTAGTTTGTTTGGTGCCAACATGTAGAAAATGAATTACTTTTTCTATTATTATTATTAAAAAATGTCTAATTGCTTCCATCCTTCGCCACAACTCACGCCACACCACCATGTAGAAAGAAAAACAAACTTCTTGTACCGTCGACAACGTTTTTGCCCTCTAAAGACGCAGGTCGAAATTCCGTATCGACAGACATACACGCGATGACGTCAGCTGCGAATGACGTCACGTTGTCCGTGAACCCGACGTTATTACCAAAAAAATCAAAATTGAAAAAATCAACACATTAAAAGAAGAATGCATAAACACTGCACCATCTTGTTTACAAAAGATTAACAAAGTTGGCGCTCTCGTGTAAGTATGCTGGTCGAAATTCGCAGAACGGATATCCAGGTGCTGACGTCACACCGTAGCCGCGGGTGAAGTCACGGTCTAACATTTTTCTTCCAGAAAATATAATTAAGGGAATCATCTTACCAGAAGATAACAATCATCTCTAGAATTTTACTTGTTAATTTTAAATAAATACGCTTCTGGAGTTGTTTCCGTTGTAACAATTCCGTTCCATCCGCTACAGTTCCAGGGTAAATAAAATGATACATTTCTCAAATTCCCGGCAACAATATTTTTCTATGTTTTAAAAACACGACGCTTCGTTATTTGTAAATAAAAAGCGATGAAAAAACAAAGTGCTCTTCAGTATCGATCCACATAAAAGCTAATAATATTTTGCTTCAAGTGAACTACAGTATTTTCCGCATTACAGGCCGAACGTTAAATCGTTTTACACAAAATTCGGTGTTTTTAACAAAACTTGTAACATTACGCGTTATTAAATAGACATTAGGATAAATAACGTCACACTACTCATTACAAGAACGCAACACATAAACAGAAGTTTTACGTAACATATTGCGAGATTACTATATAATGTGAAAATTTGAAAAATTCAAAACAAGGCGGACTGTCTCGGTGCAGCAAAATCGATTTTATGCAAGATTGATGCAAAAATGCACTGGCGATGAAACGAACTGCTTCAGACGACTTCGGTCACTATTCTCCATGTACATACGGTCGAACACTTAAGAAAAAAACTTTTCTTTAACGGTTTTTGCATATCGTAACTCGGGTCTCTGTACCAACTATATTCCAAGAATAGAAGTGTGGAACTTCCCTGATGCTAGACACAAGACCAAAGTGGAACTTATTAATGGCTCTAATAATCAATACAATATCATTAGTGAGATCAATAACGCTGATTAAAATTAAACTCGGATGCCTTTGCCAACTTCCTCCGACACGTTTTGATTACTTCATTCTGCAGTTCGAAGTTTATACGCTGCACTGACAATCTATCAATTAGTCTAAATATGTTCGGCTGCACATGAAAGCCTTTCCGAACAACAAAAATAGACGTCAGATCTCTTCATCGTTCGATTCTACGGTTGATAACGGTCGGGAGGAAATTAAGAACACATGTCAATATCCTCATCGCGATCCAAACAAAATCATTGAGAAAGTTCCGAATTGGGAATTTGCGTAATAAATTAGCATCAATCGGAATACCATGCATCCCCGTTCTCATCCCCGTGTGTTGGTTGTTCGTGCGGAAGTTTTCTTGTTTTCGGGGAAAATATATGGCTAAAGATGTTAGTATTTAGTGGCACACTTCCATCCAGCCCGAATGTGTTTCCAGGAGTGGTAAGAGCCTCTTAAATTCTGGATCCATACGTCATAATATCTTCCGTACAAAGCAAAGCTGGAGAAAATGAGTCGGTATTAAAGGGAAATCGGCTTAACGGTTTACTGCAGTCTCCCAAAACAAGACTAAACTCATCTTTAGGCACTGTTAACTTTTATCGATGTTTTTAATGAATACGGACAAAAGTCTAAACTAACTTACAAGAAATTATCTAACTTACAAATTAGAGCAACCTATCTTACTACACAAGTCGCTGTTTAACCGCGATCGAATTCCCAACTTTTCCCCTTGACGCTGGAACATCTTTTCAATTTCAACAACTATCGCTCGGAAAGTTCGGCATGTTTAATAAATAACTTCAGTTATAATGCAACTCGATAAAAAAAGAAACATCTATGTCAGAATGAAATACCTCTCACAGCGCGACAGAGAATTTTGTAGTTGCTGTGGGCTTAAATTCTCTCTAGGTTTCTGCACAAGTCAGCTATTATGATTGATTTCATGTTTTATCTGTCCGTGAGATTTCATTATACAGATAACCCTTGAACTACTGAACCGATCACTTCGGGTCTTAGATTATCTCCCGTGCAAGCAATGCCGACCAAAATGAGTTGGAATTAAAGGGAAATCGGCCTCCTAAAACACGACTAAACTCGTCTTAGGCTCTGTTGACTTTTATCGATGTTTTAATGAATATTAAACTACTTCCGGAAACAAAAGACGAAACTAATTTAACAACAAATTATCTAACTCACAAATCAGGGCGACCTATTCTGGCGTACGAGTCATTATTTACTCACGATCGAAATTGCCAACCTTTCCCCTCGAAGCTGGGACATGTTTTCAACTCCAGCAACAGTTTTCCCCGCGATTTAAAAGAGGAAATTATTTTATGGGGTGCCATCGCCATATGCCATTCCTCGATGATGGATTACACTCATTTGATTATTCCCGGATTTTGTCCGCGTTACTCGAACCAGATTACCAACGTCTTAACGCTCAGACAACTTACAACGTATTGCCCTTTAGCTCCACTTAGCTTCTATTACGGTTGTAAAATTTTACGCTTCCACCATTGGTTATAAAACACTTAGATCTGCCGCAAGTTAGACGTTTATTCCATATCATGCTCTCCTTGGGGTTAGCTAATTCCAGAGGTGCGACTGTGCGCTACCCAATAAACCGTTCAAAAACACACACCTGCCCTTCAGTTATTTGCTCTGTTTATTCGAGTTGTTGTTTAAATTCCGCACAATGTTGACTACACACTACATTAATAGAATTCCCTTTTCTCTGTTATTTAGCCTGAGTACCGGTTTAGCATTACACTACAGTAAATACGTGACAATCTAATAAAATTATGTGCTAAATGAAGAGATTGTGAATTCAACGGAAAGATCGATCGCCGATTCTAATCAACGTATCCGGTTCCGGTACAGTCTGGATGTCAACTTCTTTACCTGAGAGTTACTCGCAACGAGCTTCCCTCATCTCTTAAGCACAATCGAGGCAATATTTTGTTATTTTTTCTTGGAGTTGAAGTTGAGTTTGAAATGTAAAAATGGAATCCGTTGTTCTGAGAGGGTTATTGTGAATCTGGGTTTTTCGTGCCGATGATATAATTTCGTCTGCGGTAGCGGATTCTCCGTTAATGCTGCTTCTGGGAAATTAAGCCGCTCGAAAAGGTTTTTCTAAAACTGGGGACACAACTGGAGCCCGAAGATTGGCGACAATTAGTCGCGCAATCGGTATGGAGATAATAATGATACAAGCTGAGAATTTGGGTTTACATGCCCGGAATTTACTTGGTCAACCCCATAGCCAAACAGTGGCATTCCATAAATAGAACTGTTTAAAACGGTTGGGTGTATTTAACGCCGTGGTTAAATATTCATTTTGCAAGTGTTCTCATTTTACACCCTCTATACCCAATATTTGTCTTCTCGCCACTTCCTGGCCTCTAGTCATGCGAGAGTTCGGAAGTATCTTTGTGACACCCCCACAGCCCCACTCGGATTTCGACTCGTTTGATTTAATTCCGGTGAAAGTAGAAGTCAAAATTCAACTTCCACGAGCTACGATTTTGATAAACCCCGAACGACTTTATAAACATGCCATGTTTATGGAGTTTGTGAAAGATCTAACGACGTTTTAATTTACTGAATAAATATGTAAATTCTGAATGAAATTTAGTGAAGTCAAAATTGAAATGTATTTTTAAAGTTAATCGATTACGTAAAAGTATAATGTTTTAGTCAAACAGATTTTTTTTATTAATTGTGTTTTGATTTTTGAACAAATATAGCGACAGCTTCTTAGATCCTCCATCACTACCCGTATTTCTCGCAATGCTCATTAATTCAACTCTTGTTTGCATATTTTTTTAAATACGTCGTCATAAATGTTTTCTAACGAATTAAAAGGTGGTTCCCGCAGTTTGTGTTAAACAAATAAAAGGACAGTCTTTATTGGTGGGGGTTTCATTTTAAACTCACGTATAAATATCATCCCGAATACATCACCTGTAGTTACTGTACAAATAGCATTATTCAACATGAAGTGTTTCATACTGCTTCTATCCATCATCGCGGCCACTCAAGCTGCCAGATATGAATGTAAGTACTTTAACCCACTACAAAAATCAAACCTCAAGCGTAGCAACCTTGCGTCGCAATCGAATTCACCCAAACAGAAAGTTTGCCTTTACCTTCATAAACATCCAAATTTCTCAGTATTTATATTAACCAAATCATAAATATGCATAAGGTCATGGCGTTAATTCACTTTCGAACCTCTCCTCGCGTTAATAAGAAAATCAGCAAATCGAGAAATCCATTATTTGCTTTAACGAATGAATCACAAGACCTCCAATTCTTAAAAAAGACAAACATCACGCTGTCACCATCATTTACAACTGTTCAACTTCCAAGGCTAAAACCATTAAAATCATTAACCCATCCCGTCGGGATTTACAGAAGTGCAAAATCTACTAATTCGGTAAATCAATATTGTCTTGATCAATATTAACCTAATGAGTCGCGCAAAACTTCTCCCCCTCAAGTCGTAATCATTATTATTATTGGTCCCTTCGGTTACTCGTTCCCTCGCTCGGTTAGAAAACTACTCATAATAAGGATGAGCGAGGCGAGCCTAAACCCTATTAAGGTCCCTTTTGCACTCCACCCTCTCTCGCTCTCTTGACACAATATAATGATTCAACTCTCGGTTATACCCAAAAATATACACATCAGGGGCTACAAATCCCGTACGTAGCAGGTCTTCACAAAAAGTTCATCTCCTGTCACGTAAAGGGGACACCACTTTGCAAACTATTTAAATCACCTTTTGAAGACAACCTGGTACCTCCACATCATCCTTCGTCGCCCGACTTAGCTTAAGTTGCAACTTAGTGTCCCGATTCCCTGCAACAAAAGAGACTAGGCTGAGCCAGAGATTTTTATAACCACTCCTGGTTCTCTGATTGCTAAGCCCTACGACGATAATTGCTATGACCGTCTTCAATAAAGGTTATCCTAAACGGGGTGGGTCATAGTTGTTTCCAGTCACGATCGAGCGCAGTGAGCCGCACTCACTACTAACCTTTTTCCTTTCAGTGGTACCCGTTGTAGAATACGACGGCGAGCTCTACATTCCTCTCGCCGCCTCCAGCCGTGTGGTCCGGTCAGCAGACGCCCGCCGCGGCTACGGCGGCGGTGCTGGCAGTCAGGCGGACGCTACAGCCGCCGCCACCAGCCAGACTCAAGCCGGCAATGTAGGAGGCCCGTTCGTGGGAGGACTTGGCGGCAAAGGAGGCTACGGAGGACACGGGGGCTACGGCGGTAAGGGCGGCTTCGGTCCCGGTATCGGAGGCTCTACGTCCAATGCAGGTGCCAAGTCCGGAGCGTCTGGAGGCGGTTTTGGAAATTCCGACTCGACCGCCAACGCACAAAGCCAGACTTTCACCGGGAACGGGTTCAGCGGCTCGGCTTCGTCGGCTAGTGCTTCTAGTCACAGCTCGTCTGGAGGCCGAGGCTATGGGGGAGGCGCCGGGTCCAACGCCGCCGCCACCGCTGAGAGCCAGAGCAAGTCGCACGCGTAAAGTTGCGCGAATTTTTCCTGATGAGTTTACTAAATAAAGGGTTAAATTTGATGAGTGTTTTGATGGAGTGGTGTTGGGATTAATTCATTATTTAAGTTTTCATCTTATGTGAGATATTGGCGGGGAAATTATGAGTGTGGCAAGGTTATGGCAAGCGATTTAGAAAATTCAACGCGGGGTGATGAGCACATTCAAACTCTCGTGAGATTTATTGCCGTAATGAATTAAACTTTTTTGTCGAGTCAATGTCAACAAGCAACTTTTCGCCAATTACGGGAAAAAATCTATCGTGTTTATTATACCTGAGTTTTGCCGAGAAGTTTTTCGGTGAAATGAAACGAGAAGCGAAGACGTGACTTTCTAAGTGCTACGACGTCACAACAGCCAAAAAGGTAGATAAAAAATACTTTTTATTATACGAGTTCATGTCACTGCTTGTCCCCAGAAGAAGAAAATTTATTTGTCGGAATCAACGAACAGTTTTTTCCGAACACATGTTCGACAAAATAATGAATAATAAATAATACAAAAACAATTTCCTAGCAGAATTAACCGCAAAAGTAAGTTTTTTCGTTTGTTAACGAGAAATTAAACACTTGTTTCCTTTTACAAATTGACTACTTAAGTAAAACAAATAATTTCTACTCTCTCTCTCTCTCTCTCTCTCTCTCTCTCTCGGTGCCTCTATATTACGCCAACACTTCTATCTACAAACCATGTACAGCATAAATAAAGACAGCCCTAGCGGCCAGCCTTTGTTTAACCAAGAACGTAGTCCTTTTAGCCAAATTAAAAGCACCCCCAACATTGCTAATAAATATTCAAAAAAAAAAAAACAAAACGCCAAAGCCGTGCTTTCAAGTAGAAGGCACTTAACGCATTCCCACATTTGGGGAAACAAACACACCACGTGCTTTGGTGTTTGCGTCAAGTAGTGCTGTTAGTGGTTGCTTCTGTAGTCGACTAATTACGATTTATTGTTACACCTCTCCCCCTTATGGGTTTGCTAGTAAAAAACCAGGCTTGCAGTTGCTGTTAAATCGCATAGATTCAAACACGCACGCATGACTAAAAATACTGCAGTTGATTCTAAAACACCGCGGTAAATGGACTGTGGTGACGTATCGCGTCTTTGGCTCCGCCTCTTTTCGTATCTATGCTCGACTAGGGTTGCATCGCTTGATTTTAAAGTAAAACTGAAAAGGTGTCGTTGCATTACGAAACAGTGATTGGTTAAAAGTCCGAAGGTTGTTTTAAATCAGTGAGCGTGGCGCCAATACGTAAAATCAATGTTATGCAACCCATTTTACACGCGCGTGAACAGCAGAGTATGTGTTAGTACCTCGAATGAGAAAAGTAAAAGTCGTAAACACAGAGATGCTGTGAAATTATGATAAATATATAAAGAAGTTGAAAATTTATGATCTCCCATTCGCGTAAATTAGAAAACAGATTTAATTACACTCCGTGAGTTTTGTTACGGCATTTATCATTCCTCCCACATAAATTTCTAAAATTTGGATTTACACAGTGGAGAATGGTTATTAAAGCAAGATTTTATAGACCGTCTCGATTCAAAAAGTAATTAACCGGAACAAAATAAATCCCCTAGATAAATATTATCAAAAGACAATGACATTTAACTCGCGAATATCTTCAACTAATTACGGAAGTTCTCCTGAGATTGAAGTTTGTATAATATATCAGACGTAGTAGAGTACTAACTCACAATATAAGTTAAACACTTTGAACCACATCGAGAACAATGCTCGTAATTACACATGCTCAATTTACATAACAATATTTCATCTCCATTAAAGTTCAGTGAGTGTTCTGTGTGGCAACAGATGCGACTGCTCCTTTATTAATAATCCAAATTTCTAGAATAATGAAATTCTGTGCGTGCTAGTTTTCAAATTAGATTGTATCGACGTAAAAAGTGTGTTAATTAACGTTCAGCAACATTCAAAGGACAGAATTCTCACACCACTTTTATGACTTATTTTAAATTTGGTAACATTGATTTTGTTTGTAGTTGACGTATATTACTGACAGAAAAACATGAATATTGACTCGAATAAATTTGTTTATTCAAATTAGGATCTTACAATGATTACGCGCAACATTTTCAACATTAAAATAAACAAATCCGCATTTGCATTACATTCTTCGCAAATTTAAGAGATAAAAAGTGGCATATTTAATTATTGTTTTAATGCGCCGCCTCTAAATAGTCTCAGATTGTCTAGAAACGGGAACAAGTTGTTGTTAATGAGCAAATTAGACGTCACGAGCTTCGTTCGACCCGCTCCTCTCGCTCGCTCCAAGTACCACGCTCTTAATATTATATCAATTTAAAATTTTTTAAACTCTGATGTTTAACGTCTGACGACTGTGACACTTTTGTTTACGCTAAATTACAATTTGGAAAATAAATTACGAAATACATCAACGGCTCAAATGTGAGTTATGGAGTAACAGCGTCGAGCAAATGTGTATTCTTGTTGAATAATTCTGGTGCATTGTAGCAAGTTTTGTCTCCGTCTAGATGCTGTGTAGGTATTCGTGTCGGCAAAATTAATTGTAGCAGATGATCAATAATCGCTAACACTGGAATATAATTGAATCTTGTTGCTGCATCTGTTCTCCACAAAGACATTCACCCAAGAAATTACAAAACAGCAATTCGATTAATTTCTCTAGGGAGTTATTTACAAGATATTGTTTAGATGAGACACAGCATATCTCGAGTGGCTCAATCGTTTTTTATCATCCGTTTGTTTGTGAAAAAACAAAACACTCTATATTAATATATGCCCTACTGGTGCAATTCATCACACTCTCTCGACATAAAGAACCCTAGCGCCTTTGTCATAAATTACAGACCACACCATTATTGTCAAAGGATGTTTCACGGTCTGTGCGATACAATCAGGACAGAATCCAACTTGCTACTTCCACATTAGACAATTAGCATGTTTAAAATGTGAAAACCCACACCCTAATTATAGAATAACGCGATGGAATATTTTATAAGAAACGTCCAATACAAAATTCGTTATTTTGTTATCCTGAAAATATTTTTCAAGCTAAAAATAGAGCCGACTTAAAAGTCACGGTTGTTTGTCATAATGTGATTTTGTTTGGGTTTTTCCTAGAGTGAATTGAAAGCCTAATCGAATTTGCTTTTGTTTTTATCCTGAATAATCATAAGAACATCCAGCTAAATTCGCGCCTGAAGGTCAGGATTTAAGGATTCCGCCGACTCTCGTGTTTCCATTAAAGTTTCATGTGGGTACTCGGATTTTATATATATATTTTTTTTACATATTTATAACGACAAATTTCTTCGCTGCGGAAAAATACCGAGGCAACCTTGCCGAGTTCCTGATACAAACGCTTCCTAATTCTGTTTGTGACGCTTTACCACTCTAGATCCAATAAATCTCCAGTTAATAACAATACACCATGCATAAAACAATAATTATAATAAAAAAACACTAAAGCGATTATGATCTAGAAAATTTCCGCAACGTCCTTTTTGTGGTTTACAACCAGTATTTAATACTTTAATTAGGAAAAATAATTTACGCAACCTTATAATATTTAAATTAGAATCAAGACGCTCTAACGCAATAATAATGGTCAATGTCATTACCATCAGACCCGCCTAGTCAAATTTGGAAACCCCCCCAAACAAAAGCGCGAACGTAAAAATGGGTTTTTACAGCCACAACAATTTCAATAAAACAAAAAAGTCTTTAATAAATATTACACACGTTATTGCCGCCAAACATCCATCTGCCAGTTTCTGTAAACAAGACTTTTCGATCTTTCGCATGTCTATTTAAACACACTACATCATGTCGCAGTTTTTCAATGTCCACAAACTGGATTTCTTAACAATGCATATTTTCAGGACTACTTATATAAGCCAGTGGCTAAATTAAAACCAGTCAGTAGCCTGTTCAATCACAGACAAGATGAATTTTCTTATCCTTGCTTCTTTGTGTTGTTTCGTCCTAGTTATAAATGCAGCCACCGTCCCGCTCACCGAGGAAGAGATTAACAACCCCGCACTCATAAGGCAAAGAAGGTCCCCGCTCCTATTGACCGCTCTAGGGGCCGCAGGACTCGTCGGAGCCGGAATCGTGGGGGCCGGACTCGCAGGACTCGCAGGAGCAGGACTTGTGGGGGCGGGACTAGGGGCTAAGGCTGGATTTGCAGCCGGGTAAGCACAACTACGAACTGAATTATTAAAATTAAACCAACAAATTTTAGGGCTTTGGCGGGATCTGCGGGCAGGTCTTATGGTGGATACTATTATGATTACGGACACTACGGACACGTGGATAGGGATTACGAATACAAAGCGCAAGTTAGAGTGCGAGTATAGAACTTGTTAGGTGGCTATGACAAAATTTTTTCACTCTTAATAAATTAAATAAAACAAATTATTGCATTTCAATTACAGAGGAAGCGAGTGTTTTTCCAGTTGTTGATTTTTTCGACTGACGCGTGTCCAAAATGGCGAATACGGACCTGTCACATTTAGAATTTAGCAACTTACCCTAAGCCGGGCCTGACTTTTCCAACAGTTTTGTCCTGCAGCTGGTCGTCAGTTTGAGTTCAACTCTTATTAAAATTTTCAGTCTATCACTTTTAGGGTACTTTGTTTACTCTAGAATCACATAGGTTTTATTTTTAAACAGTCTCAAAAAGTGTTAAAATCGTTCGCGTAACAACACAAAAATTTTGACTTGAGAACAATCATAGTGAGCGCTGAAACTAAAAGTCAAATGACGTCACAACGCGGTAATTTTGAATGGCGAAATAGCGGGTTTAAATTTAAAAGCAACTAAAAATTGTTTATAGTTGTTTTGAAGTGACACTAATAACCACGATCCCGTTATCTTTGTTGGAAAATTGTCTTTTCCATTATCTTTAATGTCGTGGTGCACTTTATGTGTACTTAGTGAGTTTTATCTTCACATTTAGGTGGTGGCTCCAGCGTGTTATAAAGTTTAAGGACAAATAAATAATACACTTTTGTTTGTTTGTTTAATTATTTATTGGGAAATGGAAGGAAATAAGTGGGATTTTCAAAAGTGATACAATATATTGTTCTTAATGAATTCAATGTACAGATTAAATTATCCTATGGTATACATGAAGCATATATTATATGTAACTAGGCTTTCATTACACTGCCATTGCACGTGGTATTGTAAGGCAGAATATGCTCCATTGCCTAAATTTTTCAGCAATGACTGCTTCATTGCATATAATATCAGATGCACTTGATAGTTAAAAACACAGGATATTCCCTAACTGAAGAGATTACATTAAAGAATAAATATATAAACACGGTAGGCGAACAAACTACTCTGGACTCCTATGTCTAAATTAACTTAATTCAGGAAACATGTTTCATTAAATAATGTAACCAAAATATCACAGACAAAATAGCAACATTTACAATAAAATGAGTTTTTAGTCAGTTGCCAATTATGTCATACATTATGCCCTTATCGATATGACATTTACAAAACGCAAGATATATAAATATATCCAAAAATACTTTTGAACAACCTGTTTCTCAAACACAAATTTCAAAAATATCTCACAGATCTTACGAAAACACTATAAACTACTGGGCGATAAATTAATTATAAATAAAGTACCTAATAATGTAAATATCGCATGTAAATAGGTAAATTTATAGACAATCTGTAAAGTTGCTATGTAAAGACAAAAGGCTATACAATAAAATTACTATTGTCATAGTTTAATACAAAAGCTGACCAGATTAAAATTAATAGACATATAAAACCGTGATGCGAGACAAACGATAAAATAACTGTCATTCAATTTTAAAGAATTGTAAAAAGGCATTAAATTTATTGCTTAGGTAGGTGATGCTCCAAGTTAACTATTCAAAACTGAATGACAATAACCTACATTAAAAAATAAATAGACAATACTAATAAAACACTTGGGCTTTTTAAAAATATTCGGTCACTTTTAATACAAAGTTGCTCCCTGCCGCATTCTGATAAGCTAAGGCATGGGAATGAATCCCAGAAAAGGTGTTCTTTTCAATAACACGAGTGTGTAAAAAAACAAGTGTCACAAACGAACACCTTTTCTATTTTTACAAATCACATGATAAGCAATAACTAAAGACACTAAAATCAAACCAACACGATACAAAACGATAAATAAAACATTTACATTAAAAAATCGTCAGTTGTCTGCCATCCTTAGCAAATTTTTTAATAGTTTTTGAGCATGACAGTGTCTTTAACACACTACTGGCGATATGCAGGCATTGCCACTCCATTCCCTGGTGTAACATAGTCTCCGATCATTAAATTAGCACTAACTGGATAATTTGTCATCACTAAAGGTTGTTGCTGAAATAAAAACAAACACTGAGTAGCCGACCACCGATCACCAACACAACCTCAGCGCCGACGATACAGGATTTCCAAATGATGCCGCGACCGTCGCGTCGCCATGTTAATAACATTTTCCAAAACACAACGACGACCGCGCTATCACCCGGAAACAACGTCTACAACCTCTAAGTAATTAAAACTACAGCCTTTGCGGCAGCGTTTATTGGTACACTCTTACATCGATAAAATTAGAGAATTCCTCTACACAGTAAAATATAAATAAATTAAAAATTATTAGTCACGATAAAATTAATAAAATCAACAAACTATCATTTATACTTTAACCTTCTTTTAATAAACTTCTGATTATTACGTTGCCTACTACCATTTGAATATCTCACTCTTACCTTCGCCTACAACATTTTGTGTTTCACATGTTAGTCTACAGCTACACTACATCTACGGTTATCGTTAATATTCAAGAAAAAGAAAGTGTTACCTGTTGGGCGTTCGGTGATGTGAACAACGAAGGAGAAATGGCGCCCCCTATTAGCTGAGCTGTGTGTGTCGAGGTCGGACTAGCTGCTACACGCCCTCTGCCGGTACTCGAGATGCAACCGGGATGAATGTTTGGCTGAGTAGGTTCTGATAAGTGAGAAGGATCCACTACGTAAACATTAATCAAAATAAATCATCAGTAAACTAAAATAACAAACCTAAAGCTATTAGATTGTTCGCCATCATGTTGCTATTGATGATAGTCTGAGTTGTGTCCATTGAAACTTCGCCTAAACCGTTCACAGACATACCGTTCACCATATTGACAGCTACAATATACAACAATTGTAAAAATGTGCAACTACACAAAACGTAAAAGTACCGTTTCTGACACCTTGTGCATCTAATTGGCTCCAATAGTTTTCACTTGGCGAAACATTGGAAATTCCTGGAGGTGGCTGCACCGGCGCCCCTGTATATCTAAAGTAAGGGTTCTTCAAATCTAGGGTATTTTTTGAACTTTGGTTTGTTCCCTCCACAGCCAAGTCGATTGTGACGTCATAACTTTGTCTGGAAATGACACCTTTTAGTTACACAAACTTTCCGCGCAGTGACATTTTATTAACGGTAGAGTGACCAGGGCGTGAACAACAAACCTAGCATTCCTAATAATTGAACACGTACTTTGATACAATCCTAACATATTTCGATACTCTCTAGTGCCATCTTCAGTGTCAATCAGGTAGAAAGACCAGAATTAAAGAACAAATACCAACTCAGCTTTTGTTAACCACATTTTACATTCTGTTAATCACGCCAAAGTTTCAAACAAGGATAACGTTCTTAAGTCAAACTGCGCAAATGAACAAACTTATTTAAATCCCTCCCTCCTTTCTCCTCTCCTTGATATTACGTAAGTTTCCTCTGATTTTAGTTTGTGCTTTACCCTTGAGTTGGTTTTAATTTTTGTGATTAGTTCAATTTCGTAGTTCAAATTTAGCTAGTGTTCTGCCACCTGCCCCGACATTCCTCGACAGATGTCACTGTTTTATTAATTAATTTTTCCTGTTTCAAATATGAGTTTGAAGATGGCACTAGACTAGTAGTGCCGAAACATGTTAGTTTTTCTACTATAAAAACGGAAATACTACATTGGACATGACTTTACAGTTTTATATATTTAGGTAAATTGTCAGAGAAATTACTTGGCCTATTTTTGAATAAATTGTTGTTTACTACGTTAAATATTGCTTAATTAACGAGTTAATAATATATGTTCATTTTTTGTTCAACAACATTAATCATACCAAACAAAAAATTACAGCTCACGTAGTATATCATTGTTGTTAAATACTACCGCGTAAAATGTTTACTATACGTCATGTTTGTAGCAATTAACCCAAGTCAATAAACAAATTGTGAACAGACTGACAACCATAATTTTGAAGTTGTAGACATTCAACTACAATATCCAGGAACTCACTGCGTCTGACGCGCATTCGTTTAGCGTAAAAATTGCTCATGTGCTTTTTTTTAATTCTTACCTCTTGTTTGCCACGAGTAAAACCCTTCCTGTTAAAACTTGCCCTTGTTTGAGTAGAAGTGGCTGTTCTAACAAACATCTAACTTGATACCAATGTGTCAAAGGTTCAGTAGGTCCAGTACTGAGCCAAATCGTTTGTTGTGACCCCGCAAACGCCACATCAAACCAAAAGGCTAACCCATGGCAAGTTCCGGATTCTAAAATATGAAACTCCAGCGGAATATCTAGAAAAAAGTTCAAGGTTAGCACAATTGAGCAATCTCATGTTACACTTTCCATATTTAAATATTTATTTAAGTTACAGTTTATTATATTACAGTAAACAAAGTAAAGTGATTACTTAGCACTTACCTATTGTGTGAAGATCAGTTTCATGAGCTTCTGAGAAGTCAACTACATGCCTAATTGATTTACTCATGCAAATCCTAATATCAAAAGTATCCACAATTGGTTGCCTAAAATATTCTTTGACTGCGCAGTTCTGAATTGCTGATAAATTAACACCATGAAAACATGTTTGAAACCTGAAGATTGTGTGGTTATTGCTGCAGAATTGTACCGCGCGATCGAAAAAATAAAGAATTAGTGTTGTCTGTTTCATTCACCAGGTGCCAACTGAAGGTCTAAAACACAGCCAACTCTAATTCATTTTTTTTCGTTCGCACGGTACTCTTGATGCTTTTACCAAAAATTCGCTTTGCTATACTGTTCCATATATAAAGAATCGTCTGTGAATGGTGCTATATGAAGGTCACCTCTTGAAGGATACATTTTCCCGCCAGTCGAGAGCCACTTCTTTGCATGTAAATAAGTCTCCAACATTCTCTCATTATATAGCATATAACCCATTGGTTCAGATATGATCACATCTACTTTTTCTGGAAGTTCAATTTCTTCTATTTTACCAGGTATCACTTTAATAGAGTCTGATAAGTTATTGGCATCCACCAGTTTCTGGGCAAAGTGGGCCATGGTGGAGGCCTCCACAGCGTAAATTCGTTTAGCTCCTGCCTGAGCAGCAAAAAATGATAAAATACCAGACCCAGCACCAACATCTAGGATTACTTTATCCTGAAACGGTAACAAGTAGAGTGACGACGGGCTTCTACGTGACTGGAATCACCCGGAAACCCTTCAAAAAATCCATACCTTAAAATCGTCTAAGTTGCATAATATTGCTCTTTGATACGTGTACGTCCTAACAAAGTCTTGTAACATATTCTGTTGCTGCGACAGATATCCATAAAATTGAAAATACTGAGTGGCTGAGGAATCTTCTGTTCGCACGGAAAAAACGGATGCACCTTTCCCAGACTTCACTTTAGTTATGGCTATCGTGAAACTTCTTGCGTCTTAAATTTCAAGATAAATGAGTATGTGAATTTTATGAGGCTCAAGTTACCTTCAATGGAGCCAAACTTGAACAAAACCGCCTCGTTATCGAAGGAGAAAATGTACGATTTAGGCCCCACTCGACAGCATTCTGAAGACGATGTGATCGGGAATTCTGTCAAAACGTGAAAATCATCACCTGAAATCGAAACAGCTTTAGTGCACGCCAACGACAAAAAGCAATTAAAGACAATTAACCGCATGAAAGTAATTGCTTTGATGCCACAAACAAAAGCCGAATTTTACGCGAAAATAAACCACGACAACACGCGCAGTTATTTTTAGAGGGCAACAAGCTCGAGTACTTCTCGTTTCGGCGTTCCAACGAGCCTCAAACGTCCCAAATCGAATAAAACTGACAAGAAAAAAAAGAAAATAATGATACCTGCATGATGCATTGGGGCGAAAAGCTCGCGTTTATTGTACGTACCGTCAATTAATTTTATGCTAATTCCTTGTGGATCGTAGTCTGCTCTCAATTTCACTCTTTTGTTATACTTTGGATTGCAAACAATTTCTTCAGTTACATTAAAAACCTCAACTTCCCAGGTCCTAAGCGCCATTTTTCGCTAGTCACACTACCGCACTCGCATTTGCAACAAACGGTGGCTTACGTCGGCAAGAACGGACACTGCAATACCGGCTTCTTCGAAATGAGGCGGAACACCTGATCGACGCTTTTGTACACAAAATGGACCAAATTAAAGACTGCTACAACCCCTGGCCACGGAAAATGTCGCCAACAGACTTCACTGACGAGTGTTTTTTGTAAACGTCAACAATTAATCAAGCAGAACTGACAACTCAAAACCACAAAATGACGGAAAAAAAAGTTGTAACAGCTAACCTTGGAACGAATGTCTGGATTAGTTCACTCGCCCGTACGAGATTAAAAAACCTCACGGACAAAACTGGACACGAATTCTGTTATCTGCATAATCTGTACTACTACACATAAGAATCTATAAGTGAGACAAATTTTGAGAATTGTCAAAAATTGGCCGAACTATTTTGGAAACAGGCGATTTTGGAAAAATAATAGGAGCTATCGAATAAATGAGCCGAAACTAACTTCTGCAGGTCTACATCTATAAAAAAGTGACTTTAGTTAAATTTCGAAAATTGTCGAAAATTGGCTGAAATTTTCATAGAAGTTATGAAATATTTGGTTTTGAGAAGTTGTAAACAAATTTCCAGAAAATTCTGTGATATAGATTTCGTCGTGGTAATGCCAAAACATGGGATGTTTGTGCTCCAGGTGCAAGAATTAAAAATATTCAGCTTTTTCGAAAAATTATAAAATTTGATTATGCGAATTTTATTTTTTTTATGAGAACCCTTACAAATTAAAATAAAGATATGTACATAACGTTGAAGTAAATGTAAAAAAGCGTGCCAAGCGTACGCTCCAAATGAGTTTTCCCTTAACAAAATTTTGTTATAATGTCATCAACACTTTTGCATAGACACGTAGGTCACTTTGGATAGGTGCAGTGTAATACTAATGATAACAGTATTTTCTGAGTCACCCTGTACAAAAAATTTAAAAACATTTAATGTGGTCATAAATGGCAAGTCTAGACTCATCATATTTTGCACAGTTTGGATAGGATTTCTTCGGCAAAATTTTGAGATGACGTCATCAATTTTTTGGGAGGGGATAAACGAATAAATTTTGCTTAACGATTTACCATGATTACGACAACTTTTAAATATTTACAAGATTTCAGGGCAATTGGTCTTGCAGTTTCAAAGTAATTTTGCAAAATATTGTTATTCAGTTTTGAATTTTTTCCAGAAATTTTGGATGTCAAGGGTGAAATTACGACATGGATTCGCACACCACAAGTGCAGGAGTATCTTATTTTATGAAATTAAAAAAAAAATCTAAATTTTGGAGATAACGTCATCCCATTGCTGGTGGGGATGATTATCCAAATTTTAGTTAACATTTAACCATCTCTGATATTTCCAATACACATACAAAATGTGACAACAATCGGTCCAGTAGGTTCGAGATTACTTGTCTAATAAAAATGGATACAGACACCAGACAGATAGACGGAAACGGGAGATTACGTTTCTCGTATTTTATAGGTCACGACACGTCGAGAAAATCTACATTACAAAAAAATGTCTTCTTTCTGGCACTAAATTTTACTTGAACCGGGACACTACAACTCTTTGGTAATTTTTGGAGGTAACCAAAAAAAGGCTAAAAATTAACAAAAAATTCTATGACGTAGATCTCGACGTATTGATTATAAAAAAATAGCATGCTGATGATCCAGTAGCAAGATTTCCGATTTTTTTTTTAATTCTAAAAAGAAAACATTTTTCTCATTGACGATTCTGGAAAGATGGTAGAAATTTTCAAAGAAAAGAAGCCGAAAATAGCCTCTAGAGGTGGGAATCTACAAAAATTCCCTTTAGGTAGTTTTCGAAAGTGGTTGACAAACGGTCGAAAATTTCGTAAGGAGACGGTATTAAAAAATTAAACTTTTGGAAAAAATGCTTAAAAATTCTGAGAGTATAGATCTAGACGTGTTGAAATGAAAAATATAACGTATTTATTATCCGGGGGCATGATTTTTGAAAAATTCTGTTTAAAAGTATATATATATATATATATATAATCTGTTACCCTCTTTTACCCATTGGGTGTCGAGGGGGGAGACGCACCGAGCCGCTCAGATAGGTATGGCGATCTTGGCCACCCAACCACAAAGTGACTGCAGACAGCGTTGCTTCATGAGCATTATCGCTGTGCCGCGCTAGGGGCTATCTGAGCCGTACTGCTCCTGTTTAAAAGTAATATTTTTAAAAAAGCTTTATTTGCGATTTTTAAAAAAGGATTGGGTTTTTCGAACACACGAAACTAAAATTAGCTAATGGAGGTTGGGATCTACAAGAAAAACCATTTTCATAATTTTCGAAATTGTTGAAAAAAGATCAAAAAATGTATAGATTACTGAAAAGTCGGAACTTCGTGCTGATTCGAAAAATATGACTTGTTTATGATCCAGGAGCAAGATTTTTCGAAAAATTCTGTTCAAAAGTCAAATTTTTACTCTAAAATCTGCCAGTTTTCTTATTGGTAATTCTGGAAAAATGATTGGGATTTTCGAAGAAATGAAGCCAAAAACAGCTCCTGGAAGTTGGAAATTAAAAAAAATTCGTTGAAGTAATTTTCCAAAATGGTCGAAAAAAAGTCTAAAATTTTATGGGAGTATTAAAAAATTGATCAAATTTTCATTGATTTTTTTTAATGAAAAGCAATACATTTTTAATTACCCCTTTACAAAAATGCGGACGAAATTTCATCACAATAAATTTATGCAATATAACTCACGACAAATTGTTTCAAAGTCATCTTATATCACTTTTGTTTTGATACAGACGTAAGTAATGACAACTCCGCCATCTACCCAACCAAAAACACATCAACATGACAGGGCTTACTACCTTGAACTTGGCATTCGACGTCATAAATAAAACATAGACGAAGTTGTAGACTTTTTATTGTAAATTAAGGGGGTGTAAATTTGAAACATAAAAAAGAAGGGTTGCTAATCTCCGTTCATATTTTGTTGAAGGCAGCGATATCCACACTCTGAACCTGTAAAAAAAATGACATCAGCCACCTTTTACCATTGTAAATAAAACCAAAATGACAAGTGTCACTGTCGCTACCGCGCAAACTCAAACTTGACATTTTGATTTTCAGAAAACAACACTAACATAATCCTCAATAGCCGTGATTTCATCTTGCAACCAGTCAATTGAAACCTTATCATCTTCCACGACGCACGAAATTTGTAGCTTATGAATCCCATATGCCAGAGGTACGAGTTTAGCAGCCCCCCACAGTAAACCTTCGGACGAAATCTTCCTCACTTGATTTTCCAGCTCCTTCATGTCAGTTTCATCATCCCAGGGCTTGACGTCGAGAATTACGTTGGACTTTGCGATTAAAGCAGGCTCTTCAAAGAATAAAAAATGAGATTTTGTTTATACTTGACAGTAAATTATTACTTTTGGATTTCTTGGCGTTGTATGCGGCAAGACGCTCCTCCCTGATCTTGGCAGCAGCCTCATCTTCCCCTTCTGAATCTGACGCAAACAAATCCACGTCATCATCGTCCTCCAATTTAGAGGCGTTGGGTTTTACGGTTGCCGTGGCCTTTGCGGTTGACGTAACTTTGCCTTCTTGAAGAGGTCTAGCTGGTGTGGTTTGTTTTTCAAGTTTAGACAGACGCAGATCCAGTTGTTCAATTCTAGAGAGAATTGTGTTGATTGCTGTGAGGGAAAGAATGTACTTTTGCGTGGAAGATTAAGGTGGTCTTACACTTTTCAAATTCTAGGGTCTTTTTCTCCAAGAACTTGATCGCGCCTGGGTCAATGGACTGGATTTCTGGTGCCGACGTCTGCAAGCTCGCTAACTGTTAAAATTGATGGGGTGAAAGGGGTTAGTGATTAAATGTTAGCAGAAATGTTAAAAAAGCGCCCTTTTTACTCACATCTTTAAAAGATTCCCTACTTTCAATAAGAAGTTGTCGTGCCTTGGCAACTTCACCTGCCAAAGGAGTTACGGATGCCTACACCAAACAGACCATGTTAATAAGTGTGTAAAAAAATAAATCTGGTTAGTAGAAAGACAACTAACTGAAGAAGTTAAGATGGTAAAGAAATGGCTACTCTGATTCAGGTTGTTCTACTAAAAAAACGAACTATTTTATCGTTTTACGTACCTTTGCCAAATTCTCGTAGTACTTTGTCTCAGCATCTTCGTAAATACATTTCGTGATCCAAATGTTTTCGTATTTAAGGTATTCCATCTCAGCTACAAAAAATAAGGTTAGAAAACACGTGTAAGCTTTAAAATAATCTAATCAATGAAAAAGTGGGCTTGAATAAACGAAAAAAGCAAACTGTTGTCTTCGTGACCAAATTATGTTGAAATTACCTGATCTTTTTTTATTTCGTCCACAAGAAAATCCTCAACTCCTGCTTCGTACGCAGCTGTTTGCAAAAAGGTTATGCCGACCTAGATGGCGCCACCACAACAATCTGATTCCACAACTGTCATAAAAGCACCGAAAAAAACGTCTCATTTTTTTCAAATACTTGATCGCGGTTATGCTTTTTGAAAATATCGAAGGAAAGATTTTTGTTGCTTGTGGAAATGTAGCAGATTGAAATTCAGTATTTATATAGTGTTCATAATAATAATAACCCACTGCTCTATTTTTTATACAACTTTATTAACTATAACTCAGAACAGTAAAACGAAAATATTAACAATAGTCTAGAAAAACTTGTACAGATCAAAAACTTATCAACTATTTTAGTACTAGTGACATTTTACAACGACCAGTCGTGTCAAATTTAACATACTAGAAAAATACTTATACAATTCAAAATATGTTACAAATCCATAAATATACATTGTTATGACTTGTTATAAAATAAATTAGGGATTGCGAGAATGTTTAACCACAGAAAACCCTCCAATGAGATATTGTATGGTTTCTACATTCGCTGCTGTGTTTGCATTGTGTGCGAGTTTTCCAGGCTTCTTTATGATTTGCTTACTTGGTCCCAATAAATTTAATTTCAAATATAAGGAATCCCTTACGGAGTTGATCCTCATAAGGTACGACGATAAGACTAAAAAAATCGTAATTAGTACAAATTTTGAGTGTAAAATGAATACCCACGGGAATGAAGTGTACGATGTGGATTTTATAAAATGAATGTCACTAAGTACTTAAAAACAATCGAAACTGCAGGCATCTTACGCCTGCGTAGAAGTGAACCAATTCATAAAATAGTGGCAAATGTTTGTCCAAATTCACAGAAAATAACAAACTGGAATTGTTTTCATCGGCCATAGTTTTAAATTAATAACTACCAAAAAAATCAAACTGGCGAACGAACAACGAACTAAAAATAAAACGATATGAACAATAAAAACATAATCATGATATAATACCTTAGTAACGACAATTTAAATCAATTCATCAGAGTCACTAAGACATGGGGACGTCTTTGTCCTCCTCATCGTCTTCATCTTTCTTAGTCTTTTGTTTTTTCTGAGAGCTTTCGCCCTCATCCGATGCGTTACGCTTCGTGCCCTTACCGATTTCGACCCCTGGTGACGTCGGTGCCAAATTAGTATTAACTAATTGATAGACTGTCACTCCACCTTCTGTATATTTGCAAAATAGTATTTCTTTAGCTGAAGGAACGTTTGCAGCACCGTAATTTCTTGACCGTTCATACGGCACGTTACTACAAAGAATGGGTTATTTTTGAAAATAAGTAGCAAGGAAAAATACTTATTCGCATACGGTTCGTCCCCAGAACCGCGAGAAGTGGAAGGTCCCGGCATGGATTCTGGAACCTCTACGCTCTCACGAGAAGATTGCGAAGTAGTTATTATTATAGTCTCTTCATCTAACTGGAGATTACATGAAGAATCGCTATCAATGGTAATAATTTCAACCATACTATCATCGTCACTGCGAAAACACACTATTAGTACCCGAAAAAATAAATACGTCTGCGTCAGTGGTCTGAAATTATTATAAAATCACACAAAAAATGGCATTTAACTAAATGTTGTATAGATTTCTGAAGTGTGTTGTCAGAAATCGAAGATATACGCTTATTTGTAATGTTACACAAAAACGTATTGTTTACTTACTCAGTCCTGGACATGTCGATGTCGGAATTGTCTTCCATGTTTCAGTCTGGCTGTTGGTCACTAAAATCTACTCAACCTGTAAAAAGTCCTTTTATTAATACTAGTTCTAGAATTATTTAGTTCCTGGGATATCTATAGTTGACTGTGAAAATAGTGTTAACCCATGATGAAGTTTATAATCGCCAATATCATTTTTGTTCTTTAATTGTAATAACTTTACCATTTAAAATCATTAATTGCATTTAAATTAAGTAAAAATACCTGCAAATAAAACATCGAATTTTTGTCGCTATTGTCCGCACATGCGTGGAAGCACTGTTGCGCGACGCCGAATTTTAAAATACGCGCCGAATCATTCCCTACAAACTTTCAGTTACGCGGCGCGGATACATAACACAGACACACGGGATTGTAGACCATAAATATACGTTACATACGACGTTACTATTTTACATCGCGATTTTTTGGTAATAATGTGAATTAAACATTGCATAAACGATTACAAGCCTTAAAGAAGCCGTTGTGATAGTTTTCAAAGCCAAAGCGCCAGAAATTTGTCTGAACAAGAGTTCTTACCAATGTGGTAACCCAGGAGACGCTACTGCGATTTGTGTGTTATGAACTCGAGGAAAAGCGAAACCAGTACTTCACAAACGGCCTTTAACACTTTAGAAACAACTTCCACACAAATTTATTAGCAAAAAGGGATTAAATGCACTAATTTTTCCAGTTTTCGGATGAAAAAAACCGATGATGGGCAGCCATTAAATTGAATTGCCGCTATTGGCCGCACATGCGTGGTGGCGCTCTTGCGCGATTTTAAAAATGCCCGTTAAATCGTCAACATGATGTAGCTACACAAATGCACGCACAAGCGATTGTAAGCCGTAAGTATACGTTGCATAGGGCGCTGTTAATTTACGTCGGGATTTATTGGTAATAACGTGAAATCAAATATTCCACAAGCGTTTACAAGTTTCAATAAAGCCGTTATGACAGTTTTTAACGTCAATAGTGTCCGAAATTTATTTGAACAGAAATTCTTACCGGCGTTATTTCAGTAAATAGCAACTTCAGTTTGCGTTTTCTGAACTCCAGGAGAGCAAAACCAGTACCTCAGACGCGGCGTTTAACACTTCAGGAACAACTTCCACACAAATTTATTAGCAAAAAGCGATTAAATACACTAATTTTTCCAGTTTTCGGATCAAAAAAACCGATGATGGGCAGCCATTAAATTGAATTGCCGCTATTGGCCGCTCATGCGTGGTGGCGCTCTTGCGCGAGTTTAAAAATGCCCGCTAAACAGTCAACTCGATGTAGCTACACAAACACACACGCAAGCGATTATGGACCATAAATACACGTTGCATAGGGTGTTGTTAATTTACGTCGCGATTTATCGGTAATAGCGTGAAATCGAATATTCCACAAGCGCTTACAAGTTTTAAAAAGCCATTATAACAGTTTTTAAACGTCAATAATGTCCGAAATTCATTTGAACGGAAATTCTTACCGGCGTTATTTCAGTAAATAGCAACTTCAGTTTATGTTTTCTGAACTCCACGAAAGCAAAACCAGTACCTCAAAAACGGCGTTAAGCACTTCAGGAACAACTTCCACACAAATTTATTAGCAAAAAGCGATTAAATACACTAATTTTTCCAGTTTTCGGATCAAAAAAACCGATGATGGGCAGCCATTAAATTGAATTGCCGCTATTGGCCGCTCATGCGTGGTGGCGCTCTTGCGCGAGTTTAAAAATGCCCGCTAAATAGTCAACTCGATGTAGCTACACAAACATACACGCAAGCGATTATGGGCCATAAATATACGTTGCATAGGGTGTTGTTAATTTACGTCGCGATTTATCGGTAATAGCGTGAAATCGAATATTCCACAAGCGCTTACAAGTTTTAAAAAGCCATTATAACAGTTTTTAAACGTCAATAATGTCCGAAATTCATTTGAACGGAAATTCTTACCGGCGTTATTTCAGTAAATAGCAACTTCAGTTTGTGTTTTCTGAACTCCACGAAAGCAAAACCAGTACCTCAAAAACGGCGTTAAGCACTTCAGGAACAACTTCCACACAAATTTATTAGCAAAAAGCGATTAAATGCACTAATTTTTCCAGTTTTCGGATCAAAAAAACCGATGATGGGCAGCCATTAAATTGAATTGCCGCTATTGGCCGCTCATGCGTGGTGGCGCTCTTGCGCGAGTTTAAAAATGCCCGCTAAATAGTCAACTCGATGTAGCTACACAAACATACACGCAAGCGATTATGGGCCATAAATATACGTTGCATAGGGTGTTGTTAATTTACGTCGCGATTTATCGGTAATAGCGTGAAATCGAATATTCCACAAGCGCTTACAAGTTTTAAAAAGCCATTATAACAGTTTTTAAACGTCAATAATGTCCGAAATTCATTTGAACGGAAATTCTTACCTGTGTTATTTTAGCAAATAGCAACTGCAGTTTGCGTTTACTGAACCGCAGAAAAGCCAAACTAATGCTTCAAAAACCGCGTTCAGCACTTTATGAACAATTTACACACAAATTTATTAGCAAAACGGGATTAAATGCACTAATTTTTCCAGTTTTCGGATCAAAAAAACTGATGAATGTCAGCCATTAAATTGAATTGCCGCTGTTGGCCGCACATGCGTGGTGGCGCTCTTGCGCGTCAAAAAATTTAAAAAAGCGCGCTAAATGGCTCACTGTACACATCAAAATTACACGGCGTAGCTACAGAGCAAGCGATTATAGGCCATATGTATACATTACATAGGGCTTTAGTGGTACACGTACTACCTAAATCCCCCTAAAATGCAACTAAATCACAATTTACTGATTGTAATGGGACTTGAAATATCGCACAAGGGTTTAGTGGTTTTAAAAAAGCTGTTGTGTTAGATTTTAGTGTCATAAATTTGTTTCAACGGGATTCTTACCTGAGAAATACTTACCTACTAAAAAAGCAAGACTGAATCTTCGAAATCGACGTTTAACACTTCGTGAACAACTTACACACAAATCTATTAGCAAATAGCGATTAAATGCGTTAATTCGTACAATTTTCGGATCAGAAAAATTGAGAAGTGTCGGCCATTTAATTGAATTGCCGCTATTGACCGCACATGCGTAGAGGCGCTCCGGTGGGAATTTAAAAATGTGCGCCAAAACGGTAATTTTTCAAAAGAAACTGTATATTATACCTCAGAATAATACGAAAAGGCAATATACATTGCGGGTTGTTTAACCGTCAACCATATTTAGGTATACTGGTATGAATAAAAATTTTTGGTAGTGACTTTAAATATTACATAATGCCAATAATCAACATAAATTTGTTAAATGAACTCTTACCAATTGTTATTAGTAAATCCTAATTAAGTGTACAGTTCTTACAGTTTTAGGATTATAAAACCTGACATTAGTTAAACTTAAAGGATTTGAAAAGGAATAATTTTTAATTTATTGTTGGAAATGAAATTTTCTAGCGTGTGTGTCTAAATTAGTGATCCTAGAACGTATAGATACAATTCATGAACCAATATTTTCCGAATTAGTAATACTTTTGGACTTGGTACTTGATGACTACGTGACGTATCCTTGGAATGCCATTTTTATAATATGTTGATTACAACGAATCAAGTTATTCAAAACTTCTTTATCACTGCAAGCATGCGAGCTTATAAAACAAATTGCACTTTAAATTCTTCTCATTTCGCGTCAACAACCTCACCGGTAACGTTAAAAAATGGGTTCTATCTGTTCCAAAATTTTCGATGTCCCTCTTGATATCGAACTACGAGAAATCAAAAACTGCTTAGCCCACTTGTTGTTGTAAGTACCAGAACGGCGCCAATTCGACATGTTATAACTTGTTCTTCCCGTTTTTTCAGACAGCTGAGTCCCGACGAACTGATCACCTTTGCACTTGAAGATGGAGAAATCTACGAAATTTGTAAAGAAAAGGAGGAACTTAGGCAAGTATGCATCCTTGCTGCGGTTAGAAAATACCACAGGGAGAAGTTCTTCTATGAAGAGGTCTACAACAGAACGGCGGCTTTCATGGTGATGTTGGACAATTTCGTGGAGATACAGGACGAAGTCGACAGTCAAGAACAGAACAAAAAACGTTTCAAGTACTTGTCTTTTCTTTGGCACCTCACCCATGAACGCGTTGGTGATGCTGAGAAGAATGGGGAAAAGTAGCCAACGCCAAAACTTTACGAAATAAGTATTGAAATATGTATCGGATTGGACTAGTTAGGCTAATTAGTAATAAGTTTATATTTTATATCTTAATATATACATTAGTTTTTAGGTTTTTCGTTTGCTTTTTTTTTTATAATGCGGAAATCAAAAACTGGCACATTGTACTTGTAGTGCTGATACATTTTTATAGTACTATAGGAACATAATTGTAATGTTGTTTACATGTATTAATTGTAAGTATCTAACTACTAGTAAAGCCCCTTCAGAGCACAACACTTTTTTAAGTTTTTAAGGATTTCAGCCTGTTTTTAAAGTACTCGTTTTTAAAACTCAAATTTAATGAAATCTACCGTGTTTTTGCAAAGATAGCCTTTTTTTAAAAAGTCAAAATTTTAAAGAATCTATCATGTTTTTCCAAAAATGTTTTTAAGGTATATTTAAAAAAAGAAACATTTTAAAAATTTTACTGTTATTAAGGTAGATATATTAAAAAGCTACAGTGTTAATGCATTTTGATCAATTTTTAAGTTTTTTACTAGTAAGGCCCCTTCAGAACACATCGTTTTTTAATCAAATCTACTCGATTTTCAAGGTACCTTTGTTAAAAGTTAAAATTCACCTTTTAAAACTCTTCAATTTTGAAGATTTTACCCTGTTTTTCTTTTGGGCTACTTCAGCACCAAAATGAATACGGTTTCGGCCAAACAAATTCAGGCAAGATCCTGAAATAGATATAGAGGAACCTATAATAATAATGAAATTCCAATAAACTTTTTTTAGTTATTTAGGGGCATGACACTACAGATCCTTCTTTGAGTCTACAAAAAATTTAAATCATATTGTGTGGATTATAGCAAACGGAAGATGTTATTTTTAATACTGTAATACTACTTTAAATTCACATCTATTTTATTTAATAAATTATTTTTCCTTGCGTTTTGTTAAACAGCTTCCGACTGCTATAAATTAAATAGTTGAGAAAATTTTCTTACGTGGCATTAATACAAAAAAAAGTGCGTCGACCCAGGGGCGCACGGATGGAATTTTAACTCTGTGTTGTCAATTTATATAAATTAAGCACGCATACGAAGTCATTAATTTTTCCTTAAAAAATAAGAAAAACCAAAAATATGTTGCATTTGTATTTTTTGACAAAATGATGATAATTGGGTTAATTAAAGTAAATACCCATGTATTGTCAATTGTTATTTATTATAATAATATTGTATAAAAAAACATTAAGTCACTCAAAATGCTTGTACGTATTAACTTTTCCTATACTTTAAAACTCTAAAATGTGCATACACAGACTGTATAATTTTATAGCGAGGATAATA